CCATCATAGTTGAAGTGGGTAAGCCAGCACGCTGGCTGCCATTGTCCCCTTACCAGCAGCCCAAATGCTCACGACGATGAGCTGGGCTGTCACCGCTTGGCCGCCGGTGGGGGGTTTGGGAGGCCGCATCGCACACAAACACCCACACACTCCCTCAACTTCCACGAACGCACACATACGCAGACTCCTTTCCACACGGACATGGACACACGCACAGAAACCCACACACTACCTCAACTCACTCGACTTAACACTTCTCACTACACACTTACCGGATAACTCGCACTCTGATTTCCTACGTGATGAAAAATGCTTTCGGGCCACTCGTCGTCTAGTTCATTTTTCTACACCTATCGTTCTCTCCTGCCCTCTTAGCGCTGCTCTTTCTGTCATTCTTTCTTTTGTTTCTAAGGCTTCTTAGGTATCTATTCAGGTTACTCACGCGAGCGCCGCCATGCGGCACCGTGTGTGCGTCAACCCCTGTTCCAAAGGGTGCGACCTTCCTTCGGGACAAGCAGGGGGACTGCCTGACTCTAAACAGCGGCAGTCCAACGAAGAGGCTGTTTTGAGTCACTGATATGGATTCTGGACGCAGAATCCACGTACCTGCTGAACAACTGTTGACCACGCTGTCCAATTTGATCGGTTTGCTTCATGGTCCTTCCACGTTTCTTCCCCTAAACCCACTTTCCTGCAGCTGCGCTCGTCACCGCATCGACTGTGCAGATCGATTTCGAGGCCACTTGGAAACAATGTTCAACCATACTGTTCTTGCTGACTCATGCGCCTTTCCGTTCCATCACCTTCCTTCTCATCGTGGGAATTGAGCTAACAGCAAACCAATGTCAGAGTGTGTGTAACCCTTGGAATCATAGGGACCCTTTTGGATTGGAGTTTGAACTTTTCCATGTCATGTCAGCAAGGGGACTGGAGCCCAATTGCCTACCCAGTCCAACGAAGCTATGGCATTTCGGTGGATGAGTGGTCTGATCAACCACTTGTACCTGCAAGTTCTGACCTCTTGGTCCCTGCTTCTAACTAGAACAAGCACTCCAGTCATTGCATCGGCTTGCTTTCTGCAGATGAGCACCACCGCCGTCATCTTGTCGATTTGGTTCGCTCTTCGGGTTTTGACTTGATGCACCTTTTGGAGGTCGCCTAGAGGCATCATAGACTTATTAACTCACCTGGACCCTTAGGCGTTCATACATGTGGCATTCATCAGTACGCATGTCAATAAGTGTGTCTCTCCTCAGTGACAGCTCAGGGTGACCCCTTCGAGTGGCCCCTGTGGACCCGTTGAAGGGGGGTTGGTCTTTATCTCCACTGCCCGGAGATGTACAGCAGGAGGCTTATGCCAAAGTTGTTTGCCAAGACTTGATCGAGCATTGAATTCCAAGCTGGCCGTCTTCGAGCATGCCTCTAGGTGACCGTAGCGGTCGTGAGTATAGGCAGCCTTCGGGCACGCCACTACGTGGTCGCAGCGACCGAAGCTGGTTCAAGGTTCATTGGAACCTGTCGCAATCTTAGGCGCACACACATGCGTATACACTTAAACGAGGCGAGGTCTACCTAGGTGTTTCTAATGAGGTTTGGTTTCGTTGGTTTCCGTCCCCTTCATTTGGTTTCCCCTCTCATTCCGTTCTTCCCCTGGACACACCTTCTTTTCCTCTTTCGTTTCATGTCTTCCTGTCTTCATGTTCCATCATCTCACCTCCTTCCTTCTTTTGTGCACACACGGCCCGGCCCTTAGTACGCACGTGCACAACCCACCTTCAACCCAGGTTTCAGGTCGCCCAGGTTTTTACAATGAGGTGGGTTTTCATCGTTTGTCCCTGCGCACGTGGCTCCGTTTCATCGCAGCCACATACACCTCTGTCCGTCTTGTCCCCTTTTCATGTCTGTCTTTATTCTTTTGCCCTTGCTGCGCGCACACGTACACATCCGTCCTGCCCCTCTAGCGGGAGGCGTGTGTGTGTACCCTTGGAATCATAGGGACCCTTTTGGATTGGATTTTGAACTTTTCCATTTCATGTCAGCAAGGGGACTGGAGCCCATTTGCCTACCCAGTCCAACGAAGCTATGGCATTTCGGTGGATGAGTGGTCTGATCAACCACTTGTACCTGCAAGTTCTGACCTCTTGGTCCCTGCTTCTAACTAGAACAAGCACTGCAGCCATTGCATCGCTTGCTTTCTGCAGATGAGCACGACCGCCGTCATCTTGTCGATTTGGCTCGCTCTTCGAGTTCCGATTTGATGCACCTTTTGGAGGTCTCCTAGAGGCATCATAGACTTATTAACTCACCTGGACCCTAAGGCGTTCATACCTAAATGGGCGTGTGGCATGTAGTACGCATGTCAATAAGTGTGTGTGTGTGTGTGCGTATGTGTGTTGGAATACCCATGGATATCTCGCAATGATTCACAATGTTCATCTATATCCGGGTATAGATCCTTATCTTAGATACGTCCAATGTTCTTCTATAGATCTATATATATATATCTTATCTATCATATATATATATATATGGATCACAATATATCGATATGTTCTTCTAGATAGATAATTTGGATATCATCGGATATCTATATTCGGTTGCGGAGCTCAATGGCCTTTGATCACGGCAGCAAGTTGGCTAGCACCAGCCGGCCCTCAGTGAGGAGGTTGTGGAGAATGGATTTATATAGATCGAAGTGGTTTCTTAGGATATACATGGATATACAGTCCGGGGTTTCTCCTGTTTCTGAAGATGTTGAAAGACCCCATGAATTTGGAAGTGTCTCTTTGGTTGCCTTTCTGTTGGGGCTGCTGACTGCCGCTGGAGTTGGTCTGAAGCTCGTCGGACAAACCTCAAAGCGACAACACTGCCAGAACTCTCGGATGTGTTGAAAATAGGACCCGAGACTCGAGACAAGTACCAATCTGCAAAAGGAGTACCACGAAACGGCTGCAAGTCTAGAAGCGGAGCTTCCAGTGTCCTTGGAGTCCTTGAAAAAAGTAAACGTATGAATGAATGAACTGAACGTGCTTCCTGGACCCTTCCAATCCCAACTGGACAGTTTCCGCTTGAGGAGGCCACATGTCATGCAGCGCTTCACAAAGACTTCTGCCTTTGTCGCCGGCGACGATCTGGTTCCGGCCGGTTCCGTCACCGGTGGCGCGGTTCGCGCACGGCGCGCGAAAGCGGTGCCGTTCGTGGCCTCTGTAAGTGTTAATGATGCAGCCAGCATCTTCACATGGGCCTGCAACGTGCAGAGTACAGTACAGAGTACAGAAGAGTTCGAACATGTCCGAAGGAAAGAAAGGCTAAGAGAAGGGGGAAAAGGAAAGGAAAGGACAGGAAAGGCAAGGAAAGGGAAGGCAAGGCAAGGAAAGGAAAGCAAGGAAGAAACGTTCAAAATGAGTCTAAAGAAGCAACACATGAATAAGGAAAGAGTCTCGAAAGCGACCCATCAATTCTGGGGCACCGACCGAAGCTCGGCCATTCTGCGAGGAAAAGCTAGCCATGAGGAACCAGCTGGAAGGGTGGTGGCTTTGAAGGCCAACCTGTTCAACTGATCGGCTTGAGCATTCTTCAACCAAGTGCAGTGAGTGCAGTCAGTCTGGACACATTGCGCTCGATGTTCTTTAGATGCAGTAATGATCGTAATAAAACAATAAATATATTCCTATGTCATGCGTCGTATAAAATTTACTTGATGTCAAGTAGACATGTTGAGTTCTATTCTTTTCATGTTCTTTGTCCAGCAGGTCTCTAGATGGTGAACCATTGCCTCACATCTGCTCAGCAGTGGCTGCAGAAGAATGACCGGTCAATGGTCAAGCATGGTAAACCGTAGCGAACCTACTTCAACAAAGCGCCCGGCTCAATTTGTCAACCTTCCACAGACTGCGCAGCTATGGCGCTACCTTTTGAACTCAAAGAAACAATGCCTGTAATGTCACCGTTTGTAGGGTGATGCTGATGCGACATGATGCGACAACCAATCCAGACCATTCCCATCCTGCTTTACTTCGCTCTCATCGACCAGGCTTGGCCACGCCTTCCGTTAGGTCCTTGAAGATTTTCCAGACACTTCTGGACGAAAACACCATCCGCTTCGTAGCCCTGTTCCCGTTGAGGGTGCCTCACCTAGAGCTGACTCGGCCGACTCGGGGACCGCAGCACCGGGATCGTGGGGGATCTGCTACCGATGGTTCGCTCTAAGCAGCCAGGAGCAAATCATATCCATCGAGATTTGCTTGGGAAGTCTGAAGTCCTGCTCCAACCTGGATCGAACCTGGATCTCCAAAGCCAACGTTTGTGTCTTGGTGTCTCGATGTGTCTCGATGTGTCTCGTGTACATTGAGAAAATCATGTTCAATCAGACTTACTTGGCAGGGAGACGGCACCTTCTCTCACTTATCCTTTTTCCTCTCAATCTTTTCCTTACTTATCCTTATCCTTTTTCCAAAGATGAGGTCTCAGAACGAGGACCACATCACGAGGACCGCATCACCTTCGCGAAGCTCCAGGAGCTCATGGGATCTGGGATGCGCTTTGCATGGAAGATAGTCTTCAAGCACCAGCCAGGAGCACACAATATCCATCGAGATTTGCTTGGCTTGTGGGTCTGAAGCAGTATGAGCCAAGAAAGCCAAAGGATCTTCATCCAAAGCTTTCTCCAAGCAAATGAAATCCTGGATCCGGCAGGTCAAGAATTCGGCTGCCTTCTCACGCTTGGGGCCAACCGCACCGGCACTTCGGTCCAAACAGAGCCATGCGGCGCGTCTGCGGGTTGCGCTGCGGCTTCGTCTCAGGGCGGTTGCATCTCAGCGGATGGCTTCAGTGTTTGCCGGCGCCAATCATCTTGCAGCTTGAGAATTCGACATCCCTGCCTGGCACGAAACGCTGCAAACGACGCAGTTTGGTGTTACGACGCGTGTGTTCAATCCAACAAGCGGCAAACGAGCCCCGTCCATGGGGCCTAAACTCTTCTACGCTACGCTACGTACTCCTTGGCGACTGACGTTGCCCTCTCCTTTCGATCTCCATCTTTCACGACGCGGGCGCCAGGTTTGTGAAAAAGGGACACAAAAAAGGAACGGGACAAATAGCTGCTAAGCTCACTGAGCTGCTCATCCTTAAGAGCCTTGCATTGTTCCTTCGCAGAGAACCAGTAGTGTCTACCCATAACCTGAGCTGTGAAAAGATAGCCGGATGCCAAGGGTCAAGGGTCTTCTACAAAGCAGACATCCCAAAACCAAATCGGCAGTGAATGCAAGTCCACGCATTTCCAGGAGTCCCAGGCGCTGTATCAGGACCTGCACGTAATCCCAGCCTTTGTCGTGACGACAATGCATGCTGTCAGGGTCAGGTTCTTCACTACGGCCTTCAAAGTATTTCGAAGCTTGTTGGAATCTAGGGCCCCAAAATAGGAAGCTTGTTCTTTAACCTGGTCATTTGTTGTTTCCATGTGTTTCCAGGAAAGAGTCTAGTCATCTCCTTGCAAGCATGTGGCGGAAGCCTCCGATCGTGCAACTGTGTGAAGTAACGTAAGTCGGACTCCTGGCACAAGAAACAACTCTGAACCCCAAGGGTCATAAATGCACTTAGACCATTATAGAGGTCAGTCACTTTAAGCCCGCTCCTACTTAATTAAGTAAGCGCCTACTGAATTGAGTAGCAGGGCGACTAGTTGGCTTTTAGCTATAGTTATATAGCTTCTAGATCTTCTAGTAACTGGACGCAGGATAGCTCACGCTTGCACAAATGATTTGGTTGCTAAAAATCTACCAAATGTCATATATGCACTTACTTTGGTATCTTATAGGTTAGCTTTGGTGCATTTAGCGGGATGAGTCTATGTTGGATGGGTTGATGTTGGATCAGTCAGCAGGTCTCCTTGTCGGCATCGTCAGGGAAGAAGCTTGGATCAAAGAGCATGTGCCAAATGTGTTCGAACCAGGCGCAAACGCCCTTGTTGAAGGGATCATTCACAGACAAGTCGGTCCTTCTCGAAATAAAGCCCCTCGTGCCCGGCAGAAGCTCGAAGGAGGCGCGAGCCGAAATCACCTGCGACAAGTAGCGCCAGTACGCCGGGGAGCGGCGTGAGATGGCGCGGCGCGTCACCAGAAGTTGGGAGAAATCGTAGCCACCCAAGTCATCTCCACCAACAGGATCCAACTTGCGGCCGAACGCCATGCGCCACAAATTTTGCAGCAAAATCGGATTGTAGCCACTGTCGCAGGGGCCGATCTTGCCACCTTTCCATGGCTCCACATCACAATGGTACCTCAAATGTGATGCTACTCGACCCTCTGCAGTGACAGGCCCTTCATGTCTCCAGCCAAGATATAGAAAGTCCACATGCTGTGGCCAGGAACCACTCACCAGTGCCTGAAAGAGTGTGGATACTTTCCATGACCGAATGTGTTCTAGAAAATCTGGATGCAACAGGAGAGTGATATTGCCCAAGTTCTTGGCTGCCGATGCCCGTGCTAGATGATGTAAATATACAGCTGCATCTCCAGTGGGAACCTCTTCTTCAAGCACAGCCAGATGAAGTTGAGGTTTCAGGATGTCAACTGCCACGCTTCGAACACTTCGTCCTGCGGTAAAGAGTCTCAACAACTCCTCTGGCAGATCTGCAAAAATGCCCTTGGCCAGCCTGGCCACGTCCGCTTCGGGCACGGAGGCGTCCGGCTCGATGTGTTTGCCCAACAAGCCAAAGGTGCCACAAACCATGTAAATGAACACTCTAAACTTGGCGTGTCTCCAGTGACCCCGCAGCCGGTTGTACTCCTTCGCCCTGTGTGCTTTTTGGCTGTCTGGAGGCCAACCATCTGCATCATCCATCCGGGGTGGTAGGGATCGGCCCAGTAATGCGAGGCCGGAGTTCACGGCGTGGATCTCTTTGGGTGAACACAATGGAATCACCATGTCCGCCAACCAGGGTTGAGCTGGAGCAAAACGACTCTCTTCCTTGGACTCGAGTGAAGAAGGATTTCACAAACACGTACGTGCCCCAAGTTTGATGAGTCACCAGAGAATTCATCGGAAATCGTAGGACTGTGAGGCATGATGTCTTAAACAAATTCTAGACCTCTGGTGTTCGGTTCCTTAGGCAGACGTCTGCCTCGATTTGCTTATGCCGACCGGTCCTGCTTTCCATGCCGACCTGTCCCATTCGATTCGTCCCTTCTTCCGAACCGAGGAACCAGCTGCCGCACACGTTCCATGGCAGCGATGAGCACCTTCTCCCAACTTGGATGGTCTTCCTTGGAGTTCCATCTCCAACGGCCATGGAACTTCGCACTCTCCGCCAAATGCCGAAGATTCCTCGGAGGCGATGGCTTGTGGGCCGCCCGGCCCGGTTCCGGGTCATGGGTTTTTGTTTGGGCCTGTTTTGAGGGCGAACATACCGTGTGTGTGTGTGTGTGTGTTTTTGTTTAAAGTACAAAACACCCATCCTCAGTTGGAAATCAACCGAACGATGGCAATGGTCACCAAGCAGCCGAGCAAAGCGCCTGGCAGCAGGCAGATCCTCAAAAAGGCACGGTGCCAATGTTCCAAAGTCAATCCAAAATCACATTTTCGTCCAGACCTTTTTCGTCCAGCTTTGCAGTAAAAAACATTGTGAAAACCATCATTGAATTTTACCATATCGTATCGTGTAACTCTTCACTCATGTTTCGAAACTGCACTGAACTGGACAAACGGGGGTCTCTTTGCTCAAGTTCTTCTAAGAGTCTACATCAAAAAGCGACTCAGCCTTCAAGAGCCCAGCAAGCAATACAGCTGGAGGACACTCAGCAAGGCTGAAGGCAAAGTTGGAGATGATCTGGACGACCACGAGCTAGACACAGCTGGAAAGAAATCAAATGAATTATATTACAAAACAGTTGATTTACAAATGGACCGGCACTCCGGGAAGTCATTTATATAAGAGGGATTAAAAATGATTAAAGTCTTCTCACCCGTTCAAAAACACATGTACGACATGTTTTGCGTTTTGCTCATAGCACCCAAAAGGATGGGCAGGAGAAAAGCGCGTCGGCTCACTTCGCGCTGGCCGCAATGCGCGCGCTTCCGCAAACCAGTCCGTGGCCGCCTGGGTGAGTAAGGCCACCATTTCGATATCCCAGGTGCCTGGCGCTCTCGCGATCGCCAAGACTCTCGCTACTGCGCGTGAACGGGAGATGGGAGAAACATCCTCTTACAGCCGAAGGAGCCGTTCTCGTAGTAGTCAGCCGCTCTGGTGGTAAAGGTTCGAAAGCTTAGCGTTTCCCATCTCTTGCTGAGTTCTTGCCTCATGGCGCTTCTCATGGCGCTTCTCATTGACACAATGCATCACAAGAAGAACATCCGAAATCCTCTCTCAACGCACAAAAAGTTAAAGGAAAACATCCTTTTTCATCATCCTTTCAACATCTGTTCAACATCTCCTGGCCTCACTCGCTTCTCTCTAGCCTCTCTTTGACTTGCCTCATCCTCGCGGCCCAGCCCAGCAGCCTGATCGACTCCGCACGACACCCGTTCGCTTGTCAGGGTCGACCCGAAGACAAGCGACAAAGCCTGGGTTACTTCTACGTCCAGAAAGCAGAAAAAGGCTTAGAGGTTTTGAGGTTCTCACCAATTTTTTCACCTTTTTTGTTTGTTGTCTGTTTGTTTGTCTATAGGGGCTGCCAGCTGACCACCCTCCCTCCCACCCACCTCAAAATAATAAAGTTATTATTTTTAGGTGGGTGTACCCACCTGAGCATAGAATTATTATGGAGGTAATATAGTTCAGAAATAATAAACCACACAGCATGATAAGATAGGGGGGGGTGGTATAGACCACCCACCTAAGTGGGTAGATATATGGGGACAGCTCCTAGGAAAGTGTGCAGTAACAGCAATCGTAGGTGGTTCAAGCGCAACCACCTACAAAATAATAATCGCGCCCTCTTTTCTGCCATTCTCTCTCGGTTTCTCTGTGGTACCGTGAACATCTGTCCAGTCTTTTTGCCTTGATGGGGCAGCCGATCCGGGAGAATATATGGAAAAGATTGAGGACAAGCAAGATCTCTGTCCAAGGCAGGTCAAACAATCGCCGTATTTCAGGGGTGGGGCTGGCCTAAGGGACCTCTGAAATAATTAGTAGATCGACTGATTGACTGGAATGTGTGGATAGCGTGATATGGTCCATAAAATTATTTCAGGGGTGGGGTACCCCCTAAACGACCTGTTAAATAACAAATAAGGTGGGGGGAATGTTGCCAGTATTTGCCACTTATTCCATGGAAAATATGGAAAAGGTTGAAAACATTGAGGAGTTTAGTAGAAGGAACCAGTAAGGGGGGCAAGGCTTACCCCACAGACATCATTAATAATATTCAAGTAACTATTTATTTTGGGGGTAGATGACAGGTAGCCCACCTGCCAAATAATATTATGTTTGTGCTCGAATGGATAGATCCCAGATAAAGGTAGCCCCCTGATAGGATGGATCCCAGCGAGAATTTGATGAGAGTGTGAAGCCGGCTGCTTTGGCTACCAGAGTTTTGGATCAGGTGTGCCTTGGCTAGTTCAAACTGATTGCAGCGCGACAAACGATGACTTGGTGGCAAAGCATAGCTGATTGATGTGGGAGTCAGACGTTCACGGTCTGACAGAGAAACCGAGAGAGAATGGCAGAAAAGAGGGCGCAATTATTTTTTGTAGGTGGTTGCGCTTGCACCACCTACGTTTGCTGTTACTGAACACTTTCCTAGGAGCTGTCCCCATATATCTGCCCACTTAGGTGGGTGGTCTATACCACCTCCCCCCCCTATCTTATCATGCTGTGTGGTTTATATTTTATATCTTGGTTGTCTCAGCTCTGTGGACAAGCACATCAAATTATTTTTGCTCTGGCACACGTACCCCTCCACCTGCCAAATAATTTCCAATAAACCCTGCATCATACCTTCTTCCACGGGTTATTGTTATTCTATGTCATTCAGTGCTAAAAATTATTTGGAAACCATATATCAAAATAATACTTTGTTATTTTGCAACATGCCATACCATATTTTTTTCTACATGGTAGATATTATTTTGACCCACCACCTACATGCCTTTCCAAATAATACTTTATTGATATTATTTCAAACAAATTATTTGGAGACGAGACGGTCACCTCAAAATAATTTCGCTCGGCAGGGGCTATGTTTGTCTTGTCCAAAGCAAAAAAGGAACTCGGCATCGATCCGTCCATCGGTGTGGCATCGATTGGATCGGTGTGGCGTTCGCGCCTTGGACCAGCGTTCCGAGGTCGCGGGCAACAGGTCCTGGTGGAGGCGAAGGCGCGGAGGGCGTCAGCCGGCGTCACTTGGGAGAGAAAGAAAGAGAGAAACGATGAGAAACATCCAAAAAACACAGCGAGTCCTCCTAGTAAAGTAAACTGAAAAAAAAGGGGACCCTGAGTCGGCCACATGCATGAGTTCGCCGGTGTGTGGGTGATATGCAGGGCCGTGGAGGAGAGCCTTGCAGTCGTAAGAGTAGGGCACACATCAAGACATCAAGCAGGTCACCTGCATTCTTACTAGTAACAAGAAGCTAGTAGGAGCAAAGGGCATCGTTATTAGGAGCAAGGACGCTACTACAAGTAGGGGCTCCTGGCATCGCTACGAACGGACTACAGGTCACCTGCGTGTCTTAGTGTATCTTCGGCTTTGTGCGCCGCTTGGGCAAGGGCAGGCATCAAAGCAGCTGGAGCCCAAGGAAAGGTGGCATCACAGCCAGGATGGTGATCTTGCCATGGCCCCTCCAGAACCTGTACCTGGAAGCTGGGCAGAAAAAAAACAAGTGGCCAGAAAAAACAAATGCGACTCCATCAGCGAAATGTCTGCCTGTACCTTTTTGGATCTTCCAATCATGTCTGCCATGTCTGCCTTTTAGCCGGGTTTGATAGATGAAAAGGCAGACTTTTGCACAGTTGGAACATCTAAGGCATGTTGTTCCCAACTCCGCGTCTCCCCCAACTCCCACCACCCCTATAGTCGAGTGGTAGTGGCTTCGGTGGCTTCCCTTCCGAAGTGGCGATCTCGGTGACCGATGGCGAACTTGCCGGTTCGGCGGGGCCTCCTGACCCGGTTCCGGCAGCTTGCGGAAGAGCGGATGTGGACAGCAGCGCTCGAAGGAGAAAAAGCCCTGTGAGAAGCAAAGGTCCAATCCTCCGGAGTGGTCATCAGCCGCGTCGGCTTTGGGGACACACAAGTCATCACAGTCTGCCGGAAGGTTCCCAGTGCTGATGTTTGAGCGGATGCTACGATGAATTACAAAATGTTCACCATGTTGGCATCATCATGTATGTGCAATTTGTATATAATAGATGACTTATTGACATTGCTGATTTACCGTTTCTCCCAACAACCCGCAAAATCCTCCGCAAAAAAAAAGAAAGAAAAAATACAACGACAGGAAGACTCCCTCACTCGTCTCCAAAAACCGACTCTCTCGGTGAAGAAAACGGCAACGGCGCGTTGCCGACGCGGTCGCTCGGCCACGCGGTCGCTCGGCGGGTCCTTGGGGTCCATAGGCTTGGACGCTGCAACACTCCCGGTAGACCCAGTAGTCGGTCCAGCATAGCAGCTCCGCCATGGTTGCAGGTCCCCAGCCACACGGACCACCCGGTGAGGACGGACAGAGGGGGACGGGCCTTCGCCAGTCCGGGCGTGTAAAAGGTGGGTGCATGATTTGGATGTTTTGGAGCAGCTCCATAGAAATGCAAGGTGCAACGAGAGGTTCTCAACACCTAGGTTTGAATATGTACAAATGTTCTCATTGCTGCCGGCCGGTGAGCCAAGAGAAGTGTTGGCCCTGCAGAAATTGGCCCAAAGCGACTGCTGAATTCTAGAATGTGGGTCCACTGTTGGACATATGCCAAAAGCTCCTTTTGGCTGCACAGCTGCAATATGGAAGCACAATGTCTTAGAAGCGCAGCTTCTTGCGCAGGTAGAGGACATCCTGCAGTGCATAGCAGCAAAGCAAAACCATATACAACCCCAAAGAATGTGTAAAAGGCGAGAGAGAGAGAGAGAGAACTTCGATGTTCAATAATGTAGTAAACATCCTAAGTCCTAGTACCACCCCCAAACAGCAGTTCAAAATGCTCTCAAAAGAGTTACTTCGAACAACTAAGACAAAAAGTACACCGTCGCCCTATCTCTTCCGTTCTCAGTTCCAAAGACGCTCCTTGGAAGGGCGACCGGACTTGTCTGCTGGTGGTGCCTGGAACTTCTCCTGGAAGAGACCTGATTCCCACCACACGGGCGTTCAAAAAAAATGAAGTCACATCATCCACAACCCAACTGTGTTTGTGTGATTTCGTTTCAACAATGCGGTTCACCCAGGTTTGGAGTGAAGCACAGGTGGTTCCCATTTTGTTCCAGGCGGCTCTTGGCCATCTTTCTGGCTTCCTTGCGACCATCCAGAGAGTCCATCTGCTGGTCGGTGCAAATGGTGGCGGGGGACATCTCTGCAGGCACCTCTCTGGTGGCGAAAGCGCCAAGCGAATCAACAAAAACGCCAAGCGAAATAAAGCCATCACGAGTGGTGCCTGGGCGACTCGTCTTGCTTTAAATGGAACAAGGGACCGTGTTTGGCACTCGTTCCTGGCCAATCCTCCCGTGTTTTGCGGTACAACTGTTGAAACGGTGCTCTTTGCATTCTTTTGCCAATCACTTTGTTACAGCTCAGACTTGTTTGAAAGGTAGGTGAATCATGGTGAAACTATATCGCTAGTGTCGGAGAAGAGTCTGAGTCGAAAGTGATATGAGAACGTGCAGAAACATCAGATTCGACATCCCCCTGCCAAATGCTTCATTTTCACGAACCCCGTGCAGAATCGTCAGCATCGTTCCGGATGTTGGAGTCCCTGACACTCAGGCACCTGGTATCTGGTGGGCATGATGTGGTTGTAGTTCACATACTTCACGAAAGGCCTCAAAACAACGAGAGGACTGGAGACCAGGAGGAAGAACAGGGGCAGCCACCGTGGTTGCTCGGCAGCCACTAAGGCGCCCACTTCACCTTGGTGCGCTTCGTGATCTTCTTCTTGGACATTTGCCTGTCGCATTTCTTTCAACCCAAAAAATGCCCCCGCCGCGGGACCCTCGCGAGCGTCCGGCCTCGTCACCTTGAGCGGCGCTCGGTCGATGCCCGCCACCATGCAGTGGCCGAAGGGACGCTGCTTGGAGCCGTCATCAAAGGCCTTCACCACAATCGCCTGCGAACAAAAAAAACATTTAAAAAACGCCGTGTTTCGGGCTGTTTTTCAGCAGTTCGGAAGTGTTTCGGTGTCGTGTATTTCAGTATTTCAGTAGGATCGATGAAGCCATTTTGTTGCATGGCAATATTGAAGTGGTTGTTTTTAATATACGCTCAGGCTAGGAAGTCTGCATCCCGCTATGGGGAGAAATAGGATGAAATAGACAATAGGTCTCTTTCGGCCGCGTCAGCTGGCAGATTTGACTCAGCTGGCCCCGTCAACTGGCTCGATTACAGCAAAAAAGCTTCAGGTCAGGCTAGCATTTGTAGCCACAGTCTGTGTTGAGTGAGTGGCTCAAGACCTACCCCTCCACATTGCAGATAATCTAAGAATCTAATAGTAATGTCCTTCAAATAGAGCTGTGTGGAGCTTGACAATCCCCAAAACGGTTTTGGAGGGAATCTGAAGTCAGTCAATGTATATGCTTTATTTCTTCATATTCCTGGTCTTTCCTGCTGAGTGGAAATGATGTGGCGGACGAGGTTCAGCCCTGCCTTCTTCCCAGCGTAGCGGCCCTTGCGATCGACATCAAGTGTAGTTCATAAATATGTTCATATATATCCATTGCTCAGTGACCGACTAGCCTGCAGCATGACCACCACGCGCCCAGCTTTCAGAAACTTACCTTAGTACGCAAAATGTTCAGAAGGAACCTAACGAATCATCACGAATCCCTAGGCCCTATCCATATCCTTATTCATCTTATTGCCATGTCTGCCATATCTGCCAATATATGTCCTGATGTTTTCCACATGTTTCCATCTCGGATCCGCTCGGACCGGCGACGAGTCAGAACAACGCTCCGCTCCGCCGTCGCCGCCGAAACCGACGCTTCTTCGCCGTGGTGCCCATGGTCCGCGCTTCCAGCAGTGCTACCGTGCGTCCGACAGCCGGTCCCTCAAACGGTTGCGGCGAGCAAGGTGCACAAAAGTCGAGGGATGCACAGATGTCGTTCAATGTGGAATTACAGCATGGCTGCCAGCTGCCATTGGCTTGAGGAAAGACATGCACGTTTTTGGGGGGCTGAATCTTTTTGAAAGTCAAGCCAGAATGGTGGTTGTTGCCCGAAAAACGCCTGCAATGTCCATCTAATTACTTGATGTCATGCTATTTCTGCAGCTAATATAAAGAACATCCTGGCACTTGACGGACAGACCCAGGCAGTATGACATCAACCACGTACATGCATGCCTCCAGCATGCGTCGTTAATCGATAAAAGTTGTTCGAAGCTCAAGGCTCTTCGAGCCAAGATCTTCGACCGGGGCTCCCAGAGACCGCGACGATTGCCAGATCCATGCCACGCGCGTTCACGCGCGTGATCCGCGATGTGTGAACACCGCAGTGATCGTGTGGCCGCGATGTGAGCTACATGCATTTCTGAAGGCGGCTTGAAATCTTTAAATCCCTTATGATAAGTTGTTGTCACAAAGCACAAATACCAAATACCTTGACCTGGCCATCGGGCTGCTGGGGGTGCTAGGCCAGCGATGCGGGTGCATCTGCAGCATGTCTCCAAAAAACGCCGGTGCATCTGCGCGTTCGTTCATCTCGAAGGTGTCTCGTTCTACTCCCGTCCTTTCGTTTTCGGTTCGTTTCACCCACTGACCCATCTCGGGGGACTTGTTCGACTCCTTCGAGCGTCCACGCGTCCAGCGAAGACCCAAGCGTGACATGCGGGACGGAGCCCAACACGCCCATGAGACGACACTCGTGGTGCAGGATTGCGGGGTGGATCTGCCATCCCCCCGAAGACCATCGAAGACCAATGTATTCGACCGGACCGTACCTTCGCATCCAGCCTTTCACTGGTTCAAACATGTTCAAACCAAGTAGAAACCTGTCTTGTGCGGCAAGTAGCTCGCATATGCTCTGGACATCGTTGCCGTTCTTGCTTGACATGCCGTGGATGGATGGCTTGCTCCTGGCATCGCTACTACAGGTCACCTGCGTGTCTTAGTGTATCTTCGGCTTTGTGCGCCGCTTGGGCAAGGGCAGGCATCAAAGCAGCTGGAGCCCAAGGAAAGGTGGCATCACAGCCGGGATGGTGATCTTGCCATGGCCCCTCCAGAACCTGTACCTGGAAGCTGGGCAGAAAAAAGAAAAAGTGGCCAGAAACAACAAATGCGACTCCATCAGCGAAATGTCTGCCTGTACCTTTTTGGATCTTCCAATCATGTCTGCCATGTCTGCCTTTTAGACGGGTTTGATAGATGAAAAGGCAGACTTTTGCACAGTTGGAACATCTAAGGCATGTTGTTCCCAACTCCGCGTCTCCCCCCAACTCCCACCACCCCTATAGTCGAGTGGTAGTGGCTTCGGTGGCTTCCCTTCCGAAGTGGCGATCTCGGTGACCGATGGCGAACTTGCCGGTTCGGCGGGGCCTCCTGACCCGGTTCCGGCAGCTTGCGGAAGAGCGGATGTGGACAGCAGCGCTCGAAGGAGAAAAAGCCCTGTGAGAAGCAAAGGTCCAATCCTTCAGAGTGGTTTTGGAGTTTAAAAGAACCATGCAAACGCAGTCATCAGCGGCGTCGACACACAAGTCATCACAGTCTGCCGGAAGATTCCCAGTGCTGATGTTTGAGCGGATGCTACGATGAATTACAAAATGTTCACCATGTTGGCATCATCATGTATTTGCAATTTGTATATAGACGACTTATTGACATCGCTGATTCACCGTTTCTCCCAACAACCCGCAAAATCCTCCGCAAAAAAAATAAGAAAAGAACAAATACAACGACAGGAAGACTCCCTCACTCGTCCCCAAAAACCCAAAAACCGACTCTCTCGGTGAAGAAAACGGCAACGGCGCGTTGCCGACGCGGTCGCTCGGCCACGCGGTCGCTCGGCGGGTCCTTGGGGTCCATAGGCTTGGACGCTGCAACACTCCCGGTAGACCCAGTAGTCGGTCCAGCACAGCAGCTCCGCCATGGTTGCAGGTCCCCGGCCACACGGACCACCCGGTGAGGACGGACGGAGGGGGACGGGCCTTCGCCAGTCCGGGCGCGTTTGGAGTGGGTGTGGAGTGGGTGTGGAGTGGGTGTGGGTGGAGTGGGTCTGTGGGGTGGGCACCGGAGAGTGGCACGGTCCGTGTTGTGGCGGAGAATCCAAAGGTGGGTGCATGATTTGGATGTTTTGGAGCAGCTCCATAATAGAAATGCAAGGTGCAAGGAGAGGTCCTCAAAAGTCCTCAAACACCTAGGTTTGAAAATGTACAAATGTCCCCATTGCTGCCGGCCGGTGAGCCAAGAGAAGTGTTGGCCCTGCAGAATTGGCGCAAAGCGACTGCTGAATTCTAGAATGTGGGTCCACTGTTGGACATATGCCAAAAGCTCCTTTTGGCTGCACAGCTGCAATATGGAAGCACAATGTCTTAGAAGCGCAGCTTCTTGCGCAGGTAGAGGACATCCTGCAGTGCATAGCAGCAAAGCAAAACCATATACAACCCCAAAGAATGTGTAAAAGGCGAGAGAGAGAGAGAGAGAGTACTTCGATGTTCAATAATGTAGTAAACATCCTAAGTCCTAGTACCACCCCCAAACAGCAGAGAAACAAAGGAATTAAAGCTACGAAGGTGTTTTTAGGTCGAAGGAAAGAATGTGTTCAAAATGTTCTCAAAAGAGTCACTTCGAACAACTAAGAAAAAAAGTACACCGTCGCCCTATCTCTTCCGTTCTCAGTTCCAAAGACGCTCCTTGGAAGGGCGACCGGACTTGTCTGCTGGTGGTGCCTGGAACTTCTCCTGGAAGAGACCTGATTCCCACCACACGGGCGTTCAACAAAAAATGAAGTCACATCATCCACCACCCAACTGTGTTTGTGTGATTTCGTTTCAACAATGCGGTTCACCCAGGTTTGGAGTGAAGCACAGCTGGTTCCCATTTTGTTCCAGGCGGCTCTTGGCCATCTTTCTGGCTTCCTTGCGACCATCCAGAGAGTCCATCTGCTGGTCGGTGCAAATGGTGGCGGGGGACATCTCTGCAGGCACCTCTCTGGTGGCGAAAGCGCCAAGCGAATCAACAAAAACGCCAAGCGAAATAAAGCCATCACGAGTGGTGCCTGGGCGACTCGTCTTGCTTTAAATGGAACAAGGGACCGTGTTTGGCACTCGTTCCTGGCCAATCCTCCCGTGTTTTGCGGGACAACTGTTGAAACGGTGCTCTTTGCATTCTTTTGCCAATCACTTTATTACAGCTCAGAATTGTTTGAACGGTAGGTGAATCATGGTGAAACTATGTCGCTAGTGTCGGAGAAGAGTCTGAGTCGAAAGTGATATGAGAACGTGCAGAAACATCAGATTCGACATCCCCCTGCCAGATGCTTCATTTTCACGAACCCCGTGCAGAATCGTCACGATCGTTCCGGATGTTGGAGTCCCTGACACTCAGGCACCTGGTATCTGGTGGGCATGATGTGGTTGTAGTTCACATACTTCACGAAAGGCCTCAAAACAACAAGAGGACTGGAGACCAGCAGGAAGAAAAGGGGCAGCCACCGTGGTTGCTCAGGCAGAATCGTAAGGCGCCCACTTCACCTTGGTGCGCTTGGTGATCTTCTTCTTGGACATTTGCCTGTCGCATTTCTTTCAACGCCGCGTCCCGCCCCCGCTCTCGATCCCCGCGGGACCCCGGCCTCGTCACCTTGAGCGGCGCTCGGTCGATGCCCGCCACCATGCAGTGGCCGAAGGGACGCTGCTTGGAGCCGTCATCAAAGGCCTTCACCACAATCGCCTGCGAACAAAAAAAACATTAAAAAAACGCCGTGTTTCGGGCTGTTTTTCAGCAGTTCGGAAGTGTTTCGGTGTCGTGTATTTCAGTATTTCAGTAGGATCGATGAAGCCATTTGTTGCATGGCAATATTGAAGTGGTTGTTTTTAATATACGCTCAGGCTAGGAAGTCTGCATCCCGGCAGCGCCCTGTGTTGCAATAGGATGAAATAGGTCTCTTTCGGCCGGGTCCGCTGGCATCGCTGGCATCTAAGATCATCTGATTTAACTCAGCTGGCCTCGTCAACTGGTTCGATTAAAAGCAAAAACACACCTTTGCCCGGTCAGGCTAGCATTTGTAGCAGTCTCTGCGGAGTGAGCGGCTACTTGAGTGGCTCAAGTCTGGTGCTAAGAGATTTCAACAGTGATATGGTTGCCGCATGATCCTATAACTCGCTGGTAACTCGTGCACGTTGGAAACCTCCGCGACATAGTTGAGTAGATGACCACCTTGATACGCCGATCCATCCTACCCCTCCACATTGCAGATAATCTAAGAATCTAATAGTAATGTCCTTCAAATAGAGCTGTGTGGAGCTTGACAATCCCCAAAACGGTTTTGGAGGGAGTCTGAAGTCAGTCAATGTATATGCTTTATTTCTTCATATTCCTGGTCTTTCCTGAGTGGAATGATGTGGCGGACGAGGTTCAGCCCTGCCTTCTTCCCAGCGTAGCGGCCCTTGCGATCGACATCAAGTGTAGTTCACAAATATGTTCATGTCCATTGCTCAGTGACGGACTAGCCTGCAGCATGACCACCACGCGCCCAGCTTTCAGAAACTTACCTCAGTACGCAAACTGTTCAGAAGGAACCTAACGAATCATCACGAATCCTTATGCCCTATCCATATCCTTATTCATCTTATTGCCATGTCTGCCATATCTGCCAATATATTTCCTGATGTTTTCCACATGTTTCCATCTCGGATCCGCTCGGAGGACCGGTGACGAGTCAGAACAACGCTCCGCTCCGCCGTCGCCGCCGAAACCGACGCTTCTTCGCCGTGGTGCCCATGGTCCGCGCTTCCAGCAGTGCTACCGTGCGTCCGACAGCCGGTCCCTCAAACGGTTGCGGCGAGCAAGGTGCACAGAAGTCGAGGGGTGCACAGATGTCGTTCAATGTGGAATTACAGCATGGCTGCCAGCTGCCATTGGCTTGAGGAAAGACATGCACGTTTTTGGGGGGCTGAATCTTTTTGAAAGTCAAGCCAGAATGGTGGTTGTTGCCCGAAAAACGCCTGCAATGTCCGTCTAATTACTTGATGTCATGCTATTTCTGCAGCTAAAGAACATCCTGGCACTTGACGGACAGACCCAGGCAGTATGACATCAACCACGTACATGCATGCCTCCATGCGTCGTTAATCGATAAAAGTTGTTCGAAGCTCAAGACTCTTCGAGCCAAGATCTTCGACCGGGGCTCCCGGAGACCGCGACGATCGCCAGATCCATGCCACGCGCGTTCACGCGCGTGATCCGCGATGTGTGAACACCGCAGTGATCGTGTGGCCGCGATGTGAGCTACATACATTTCTGAAGGCAGCTTGAAACCTTCATATCCCTTGATAAGTTGAAATAAGTTGTTGTCACAAAGCACAAACACCAAATACCTTGACCTGGCCATCGGCGATCCTGGCTGAGGCTTCAAGTTCTTGAAAACCCAGTACGCAAAAAAAAGAATTGCTAAGACTACTAGACAGAGACTGACTCTGCTGGGGGTGCTAGGCAAGCGATGCGGGTGCATCTGCAGCATGTCTCAAAAAAACGCCGGTGCATCTGCGCGTTCGTTCATCTCGAAGGTGTCTAGTTCTACTCCCGTCCTTTCGTTTTCGGTTCGTTTCACCCACTGACCCATCTCGGGGGACTTCTTCGACTCCTTCGAGCGTCCACGCGTCCAGCGAAGAACCGAGCGTGACATGCGGGACGGAGCCCAACACGCCCATGAGACGACACTCGTGGTGCAGGATTGCGGGGTGGATCTGCAATCCCCCCGAAGACCAATGTATTCGACCGTACCTTCGCATCCAGCCTTTCACTGGTTCAAACCAAGTAGAAACCTGTCTTGTGCCGCAAGTAGCTCGCATATGCTCTGGACACCGTTGCCTTTCTTGCTTGACATGCCGTGGATGGATGGCTTTTCAGGCAGGTCGTCAAATTTTCTCGTCTCCCTTTTTGCAGCATCGCCCCTGCAGAAGAACGGGGAGTACGTCGGAGCGGATCCGCGGATGGAACAGCGGTCACTCGGCATCTAGAGCAGCAAAGGGATCCAGAGGCCAAACATCAAAGAGACCACCTTCGAGGCGATCAAAAGCGAGTCGCCGTCGACCGTCCAATCGGCAAGAACTCGCAACAAGAAAAACGGCGGTGAACCACCGTGAACCACCATGCAGGCCAAGCATCTTTCGCGGTATTTGATTGTGGAAGCCTAGATGTTGCCAGATTGAGAGAATGCATCAATCTAAAAGGAGTCTCATCAAAATCTGTTACAGATTGGCATAGGACCACTCATAGGACCATTTACTTAGTCAATCTGCATTGCATTGCAAGCAGGATCTATTTCTGTGACCATTTTGGAAACACCAACCAAAAATAATGAGAAAGAACAAGCAAAAACCAGAAGCACCCAGGATTGAAAAGAACAATATAACATAATATAAAGCAATATATTAAATGTAAATTCAGTACAATATCAAACTCAAACTTCGGCCGAGCCACGTCAACGTGGAAGAAGTCTCCACATCTGCCGTCGTGGCCTGAGCGAACCGCGAACCGTTCGCCGGACCGAACCGGTTGACCGACGGGACCGGTGTCCTGAGGACCCCCAACGGTGTCGCCGTCGCCCTCGTCGCCCTCGTTGTCGAGGAAGACCGTGTAAGCGACCAGCGTCTTCGTGGAAGAGCATTTCACCAGACCTCGCCACAGAACTTGTGGCATCTGGAGAAAAGATCTGAGAATGGAAATGGTCACATGATCTGAGAATGAGGGAGGCTGGATTCACAGCACGAGCACGACAGCAAGCCAGAGTTGTGCAATGATTTCAAGATGTTTCAAGATGAATCCGTGTCGCTTTTTGTCCGGGTGTCTGGATATGTGTGTATGGCATAGCGTCGCAGGTTCTGGGACAAATGCAAAAGCAAAAGCAGGAGCAAGAGGAGCCAATGATGGCAACAAATGCCAACAAAAGGCAGCCAAAGAAGCCACGGGCTATGAATTTATAAGCCTATCAGCATCTATCAACCCTAATCAAATGAGATGATGGATACGTCTTCGGCTTTTTCTCGCCTGCATCGATGTCCAGCTCTGTTGAAACCTTGGATGTCGCCAGTCTGACCTCTTGAATCCTCTGGATGGCCAGTCTGACCTCTTGACATCTCTTGAAACCGTCTTTTCAATTCTTTTCACCTTTTCAATCCTTGCTCACGCCATTCTTATGTTCGCTCCGAAACCATGGAACCCGAAGACGCCATGCAGGGCGACGTCAAACCCAACAACGGCGTCTCCTTGCTTCGTCCTCCGTTCCGGTCCCGCGTCGGTCCGCTCAGTCCATCCGTCGTCTTGTCTCGTCTCAGTTCCACACTTCGAAGATCGTCCACCCGTCGATGTCGTGATCGAACCGGGCGCACTTGGGCACGACGCGATCGGCGCCTGGCCGGTCGAAGGATCGGTGTAAGGATCGGTGCCGAAGGAGAGAAGTCGGGCCTGCGGACGCTTCGGGTAAGGGAATGGACACCTGCGGCGGAGTGGACGGATGTGCTGTGTTTTTAAAGCCCACTCCACCCCCTCCCTACTTCATGAAGTAGGCACCTATACTTGATTCAGTAAGGGAGAGGTAGCTAATACTAACCTTACTTGAGCTACTAGCATGGAAGCAGAATAGCTCACGCTTCCTTGAAGAAGCACTCGCACTATTCATTTGGTTCCTAGATTTTTTGGGAAAATTGACTCTCATCATCCTCAGACTCTCATGGATTTCTTCCAATGTCGTGTCAATTGAAGTCTTGGCTTGCTATGGCTTGCTCAGGCTGCCACTGTGGTGGCTTGCAACAGTTCCTTGCAGTTTTGCTGAAGGCGAAACGGACAGGGGAAACAAAGAAACACTCTGACCAAGGAGCCAATCGGGAGCAAAAGTCAATCTTCACAGATACCACATCCTGAAGCATCACAACTGTCGAATTGGAGTGCTTGTATTTCCTTGGGATCTCTTGAAGTCTTGATCCAGTTGTCGCTCGGATTCCCTAGATGTCTCGCTCTGACCCGTCCAGTAAGTTCGGGCCGAGCTTCTGCGTTGGTCGCAATCGTGGCAGTGGCGCCAGCAATGTCTGTTCGGTAGTTATATGGGTTGGTCTTCCTGACAGTTCTCGAGTTTTCATGGAAACAAACAGATCATATATCTATGCATATCGCGACCGCACCAAGTACATCATGCTTGTGAAGCCGTGGGCCCTAATTACAGTATGCATGATCCAAAAAAAAAAAACATGATCCTATCACAATCCTTATTCAGATACATCGTTTAAAACGAGGCCCTAAACTACAGTATGCATGATCCTACAAACAACACTCAAATCACGATCCTCATTCAGATACATCGTTTAAAATGAGGCGCAGCCATGTTCCATCACACGTTCCAGCTCGTCCTTCTCTCGTCCTTATCTCTCCGTGCACTATGCCAAGTCGCAGCCACTCCGTCGCTTGAACCGCCAGACTCTCGCAGCCATCGAGTCGTCGGCCCGCGACCGCGTCGCCCGGAATGGACAGCGTGTTCCTTTGGAAGCAGCAAGCAAACCGTACCACATCAGAGTACCGTTTTTTCATGTGTTTGTTCTCATTTCAGCTCGTTTCTGGTGCTTTTTTGAATTTGTTTGGTGTTCTTTAAGAATCCTCTCCTTCCCTTAAATGATCCTTAATTTAATTGTCATCTGTCAATCAATAGACTTCGGTCCCTTCTCGGGGCGCCCTGAGTGGCCTCTCGGCAAACGAATTCGAAGCAGTGCCAAGGGGCAGCTTGAAGCCATCAACTGCAGCCTTCCGATTTCAAGGACGTGTGTCTTCAGCATGCATCGTGCCATACCCCGATCGAAGGACGTCCGCGCACGGACCCGACATCAACCGACGGACCGACGAAAGACGGATGAACCGACCGTGGGGACCTCGGAGGGCGAAGGCTTCGCCACGGCCACTTTGATGCCCTGACCGCTCTCGTCCACGGAATTGATCTCCTGAGCACAATGCAGTGCCACATGTGCCACAGCCTGTCCCAAAAAAGGAATCTAAAACAACCTACTGGTAACCTACTATATATTGAACAGAGAGAGAGAGAGAGGTTTAGCAATGTGTAGCATAACATGTACTTATAGTGACATGTTAGCTAGTAACCAAATTTGAAGGATCATGAAGGTGAACAATTGGTAACACACCAGACTCAACAAGACGGCCAGAAATCGGGCCAAAAGCATCTCCTCTCCTGTTTAGCTCCATCTGCCAAGGACGTGATGGCAGCCGTTCCCAAGTCTGCCACTAAGGAGACCAACTTCGTAGACACGGATTTCACCTGCCGCCACGCGTGCGACGCGCACCAAACGCCCCCCGTCGCGGTCCGTCGTGTCGCCGGACCGGACCGGGCCTCGGTGGTGTCCTCGGAGGTGCTGGTCTTGCCGATGGCGGCAATACCCCCCAGAAGGGAGGAGCCAGCGGCGGCAGAGAGACCCTTCCCCGAAGTCCTGAGTAGGTAGGCCAGGCCAAACCGGTTTGGCCAAGGCACAGACGACGTGTCATGGAAAAAAGTGGAGCATCGAAAAGAAAACGAACAAACACGCACGCCCGCACGCCAAGAGTCAATGCCAATGTCAGACCTGGGAAGGCTGTCAGGTGTCGGCTTCAAGAAAACAGGTTCATGGAAAGAAGCAAAAATATGCAGCTCGGGACAAGGGCAAGTGGCTGTCACCCACGACATCAGCAGCTTTGATGAGAGATTCTGTGTCCAGATTGCCTCCTTCTACCACCTGCGTGCCAAACACACAACCTGTTCAAGACTCCAAAGCCCATGCCATACGGCTATGCCATCCAGCTGTGCGGATGCTCCGACGCCCCCGATGCCTGAGCCACCGCCCCTCCAAGTTGTTGCAGCGTATCATCCGTGGCTTCGACCTGAACGCTGACAGACCAAGGCTCACGTCGAAGTGGCTTTGGGCATCTCCGTCTACATTTGTCATGGCATTACAGGCAAAGCTGATCCCATCTGCACCATGAAACGATCTATTCATGGACAGATGTACAGTGTACAGCTTTGAATTTCCTATGCTTCCCATTCATCAGTATTCTGTTTCTTCTTTTCATTGCAGTTCGTATTGTATTGGGATCTATCTTATTACCTGTAACGGTGGATGATGGTTCGGTTGCAGGCCTTGTGCAACAGTGATTTGCTTGTGTACTGACTGTTGCAGGCGACGAACGGACAGATCCGACGTACCAGTGGCGACGAACATCGGGGCACCACGGCACCGCGGTGGGCTGGAGAGGGCCAGCGTTCTTCCACACCGGTGTTCTGCTTCACCGAAGACCCGGCGCTACCATTGCATGAACAGGTTCTTCTTTTACACATCCTGAAATGTTTCCAAACCACATTAATTAGGCGCAAATCGGCACATGGTCTTGAACAGCTGCTGAGATGGTCTTGAAATCCATCGGATTCACACGGTGTATGATGTGGTGTATGCAGATGTGGTGTGTGTGTTCTATATTTGTTTCCAATTGTTTCCATATGTTTCACCGAGACACCATCGTGGTGACCTGCGCCAGTGCATCCAGTGCCACACTGGCAACAGACGAAGACGTGGACGTCGCATCTTCGCCTCGATGTGGACTCGACCGTCCAGGACGGTCTATAAGACATCTGAGAAATGCCCGGAAGTTCTGGCTAGGCATGCGCTAGGCATGGGCTGGAGCATGTTAGGCTTCCGGGCTTGACATGCTCATCACCACCTGAATCGATGTGAGGATCTGTGCCGGATCGTTGGACGTCTGAGACTCAGCCTTGGTCGAACCGACGACCCGTACCGGCTCTTGAACCATGACTCGCCGTGGAGAGATCTCCGAACGAAGACCCCTCCATCCCTCCCTCCTTCTGTTGGTTGATCTATGTTGATCTTCATCCACCTGGAAAAGAAGAGAAGAGACAAAAAAGAACGAGACGGAAAAAAGATGGAAAAAAAACTCAAAAAGCTCTGCATCGTTCTGTCGACCGGGTCGCCAAGGCATTGACCAAGTCTGCCTGGGATAAGTTCGTGGGAGTCTGCACCAGTGGCCCGAGCATCGTCGTTTGAGCGACGCCTCCCAGCCGGTCTTTCGCTCCTCAACACGTGAGCGTGTCGGTGAGTGGCGCGGTGACGGACGAGAGGAAATCCCCCATGCTTTGAGCCTAAAAAGGAAAGCAGCAAGACCTTAAGACCCCTTGGGGGCCCCTCAATCTCGGGCATTCCGTTCTTCTGGCTACGAGTACTGCTTCTCAGTTGGAGGCTGAAGCTTCGGGGCAAGACATGTTTCGGGTTGCAGCTTCGGTTTCAAGTTCCTGAGGGTGTCACTCAACGGATCTCCAAAAGCTGTGCCGCCAAGAAACTCACCACGGTGAAGAAGGCGTTGTTGGACAAGCGACGTCCAGACACACTCGGTGAGGAAGCAAACAATCGAACTGTCAGACCCTGCTTCTTCGTCCAAAACCTCGTGGAATCCAATGAACATCAGGCAGAAACGCGGAAAACACACAACTGTGGCGTCGAATCTTAGTCTTGCAGTATAATGTCTTATACACCTTTCAAACAGCAACTGCTGCTGCTCATAGAGTCTGAATTTTTGAGACGTTTGTTGATATGCCGGCCCCAGTGTCCATGGAATTTCGATCGTTTGGCATCGTCCGTCTTCGCTTTTGTTGATCGTTTGGATGGACAAAAATACTCCGGGCAGAGCTGCTCGTTGCTGCTGGGATCATCAAAGTTGATCTGTGGAGGCCTCAGGGCGCGCAAGCGCGGCGCCCCAGTTCCCCCATGGTGGTGACGCCCGTCCGACGTGTCACGCGTAGAGACACGGGCAACTTGGACGCGACGCGTCGGAAATGTTGAGACGTCCAAGACCAAGCCGCTGGAAGGCTGGACTGGACTTGAGATGTCCATCTTCGCCTGGGAGACCGTCGGAGTTGGAGTCAGCTGGGCGAAGGGGAAGGGCGACGTTAAACGAGCGAGTGAGGCGGGTCAGCTGTCCTGGTCAGCTGGACGCACTGCCAAGTCGAGGCAGTTCGATTTGATTTCAGCTGGTGCCCTGACACTGCCTGGTTATGCAAGCATGTTCTGACAACAGAACATCTATAAGATGACCTGAAGCCCAGGGAAGCCGCAGAATTTGGAATGTAAGGGAAGGCAACAGAGGCATGCTGAGAACAAGACCCATGCTGACGGTGTAGCTCGTGTCCACGGGAAAGACATAGTACGCAAATTGCAGAGAGTCGGTGTCCTGAGAGAGTCGTAAAACGGTCAGTCGATGGCGAATCTTTCAGTACCCTTCCTTCCTAATTTCGCCTGACTAAGTCGGTCAATTCTCTTTCTCTCTAAATGTTCCTTTCAATCAAACGCATCTATCTCCCCTCCCCATATTTTCTCCCCCTCCACCGGAAAATAGATAGTTCGACTAGTACTTCGGTCTCCTCATCGGTCCAACCACTGGTGCTGAAGGTGAACTGCGTCTTCAGAGCCTCGCCCTCCTGGGGAATCGCCACCACGACTCCCGGTGTCGGAGCTGCATCCACCACGAAGGGGAGGGACCTCAGCGAGAAGCAGCTCCGTCTGAAGGAAGCAACATTCAACAAAAGGAGCCAACAAAAGAAACGTATGTAGTCTAAATCCTTAGTGAAACAGTGTAAAAACATGTAAAAACCGTGGCTCTCCAGGATGGAGGCTATGATATACAATGCTGGGCCAAGCCTTTTTTCGGGGGGGCGGGGTAATGCTTTTATGGCACCCCCGCACACGTCTGCAGCGTACGTCACGGAGCCTGTCAGCGTACGTCACGGTCATTCGGTCCCCGTCGGGTGAGGTGGCGCCCGGTGCGACGATCCACTGGGCATCCGGGCATTGAAATCGAGAGACCCAAGGCTGCAGCATCTTGCAAGGAATCGGATTCTGCCCCCTGAAGCAGGAGTGAGAAACTGTCAGCACCTTGGTGTCAGCTCTGTTTGAAGGATGGGATCAAACAGATCTGTTCGAGCTGCGATGCTGCGCTGCAAGAGAAACTGCACCAACTGCACGAGTGCCGTTGAGTTTGGGCTCTAAGCGCAGTACGCAGGAGTGCATAAACGTAGGTCATCGAAGGCTCGAGGGCACTCCCATCGAAGGAAGATGTCGTCACTAGAACGATGCCTGCACCTAAGAAAACGAAAACCAGGAAAAAAGTAGCCGGGGACGTCCCAACTGCAAAAAGGCAAGGAAACACTGCCACTGCAAACGTCCAAAGTTTGGCAGCCTCTCTTTTGATCTCTGTAATTAATCACTTTTGAAACCCGATCTCTACGCCGGGCTGCTGGGCCGCGAGGATTCCGCGTTCAAGCTTGCCACGATCCGATTGGTCACCTGATTCCGCCGGCGACCGACGCGCGACCGACGGCGCCCGACGCCGCACGCCGAAGCGCAGACCGCGCGCTCGGTCGCGCTCGGGGGGCCGACTCCATCCGTGGCCAGCACCCACTGGAAGACGGCGGAGCTGGGAACCTGTTCTGTGGCTTCAAAGCGGGTTTGGGGCATGAGGATGGATCGTGGTGTTCCAACAGAAGGTGCAACTGAAGAGATACTGGGAGATAGCTGAATAAGTTACGTTCCATACTACAGCTTCAGAGTTTGGCCAATCATCAAGTTGGGCAGAGATTTGGCGATCACAAAACAACCTCACAACCGAGGCGAACTGCAGAGTTTGTGCCTCGCCTGACACTCTGAATTTGTGGTGCCAACTCGTGCCAGGACCGGACTCACCAGGCTCGTTGCCTCACAGCGGCAGCGCGGTCTGCGCGCAGCGCGGTCTGCCCGAGCGGCTCCGCCGAGTTCCGAACTCGGTGCATCGGTCCACACAGGCCAAGCTGGTCGAAGCCAACTACCCAACAGCTTCTCCATCAACCTTCACCAACCTTCTCTCTCCAACACCCCAACCACCACGCGGCTCGAACCGGCACTGCGCGCGTTGGCCCGCTGTACCCGCCCCGCACCGGCTCTCCGGCCTGCTGAGAGAGAGCTTCGAGGCGGCTCCACGGTGAGGAGATTTCCACCGGCAAAGGTCCACCTTCGGCCACGACCACAATGGCCTCCACGGTTTCGGAATCTGTGCGGGGAAAAAACAGAGATACAGTCAGGTACAGGACGTCATGCGTACGTGGATTTCGGAATGAGAATGAAGAGACAAGACATTGAGTCTATGTGTGCGTGTGTGTTTAAACAAGCATGTTTTAGGCATCAATCCTTGTGTCGTGTATCTTGAACCTTTATAGTGTCACATGCCAAGCCTCCGCGTACGATGATACAGAAGGCAAGTTGGGGATTTGTCGGGTCACGGTCACACCTGAGCGACAAGGATTGCCCACAAAGCATGTAAAAGACTATTGTAAAATAGATCACAACTGCAGCCTTACAAGTGCATTGAATGCCAAGACACCGAACTTGTAACTTCCCAAGACAGCTTGAGAAGAATCCACCACGAGTCGTTTGCCCTCGAGTTCTGGGCCAATTGTAGAATTGCAATCTGCCGGGAACAAGCAAATCCATTTGTAGCTGAGAGTTGCTTCAGGGTGCAAGCTACCTGCGACAGCACAAGACAGCTCAATTCCGCAACCTGCTCCCACTGAACGAGGCCCAATGATTTCCAACTCTGGCAAAGGATCAGTGACAAGGACCGTGTATGTGATTGAGCTGCTTTGAGATGCAGAGCCATCCACCTCCACCATAGCACGGAACTGATGACTGCCAGGAACTAAGCCATAAGCCGAGAGACGCAGAGTATTGGGCAGTGGGGAAGCATCAACAAGACCGGCGTCTTCCAATGTCTGCCATGCAGAGGAATCACTCGCTTCGCTTGCTTGATATCGCCAAGTCGTCTTCAATCGGATTTGACTTGTATCACTCGAGGCACAGGACGATGTGAGGCTCGTGACCACCTCAAGACGAAGTTCCTCTTCAAAGTTCTGACTAACTTCAGTGGGACCCGAGGCCATAATGCTTGGAGTCAAGTCCTCCGTCCCAGCATCGATTGTGAGAGAGGAAGTCACTTGCGTAGAGTCACCACTGGAACTGGTCAGCTGAACGATGAAGTCAAGCACCAAGCTTTCTCCAGAATTGGCGGCCAACAAGTCTTGCAGCAACTTGGAGGAAAGCGTCAAGGTTGAAGCCGATGCAGCGGTGGCGCCTTCGAGCACACTTTGGAGGATGGAAGAGAAGGATTGGGATCCGGAACTCAGCGTCCACTGCTTCTGAATGGGTTCAGCAGCTCCCGTGGCAAAGAGCAGTAGAACCACTTGGTCACAAGGCCTTGCAACTGATGGTTTTGCAGTCAAGGTTCCACCCAGTACAGCAACCGGTGCGGAAGGCCATACATCACTTTCTTCAGAGAGATCACTGTTTGCCGCAGGATTGCCACACATGACGTCCACCGTGAACCTATGTGAGTCTGTCTCATCCATGCCAAAGGCCACGCATTCCGGTTTTGAGAGGTTGAGCAGCTGGGTGCAACCAGCCACTGGAACCGCGGTGCTTCCAATGTGTGCCAGCACGTGCCAAGCCAGGAAATTGCAATCTCCCAAGGGCAGCACATTCCAGTTCAGTTGAAGACGATTGTCTCCCAACTCCTGCCAAGCAATCTTCTCCGGCGCAGTGGCTGGAGTTAGGCTTGAGGTACTTGTCAGGGCCAAAGTGGCAGTGATTCCTGCCTCGGCTTGGAGCGCACTGGAGACACCAAGGATCACATGATTGGACGTTTCGTTGTCACTCTGCGTGGCGCCCTCCACCGTCACAGCGAAGACTGTGGCGGCGCCCGTGGTAAGGCGTCGGGAGGTGCCAGAGGCCTGCCCGGCCATAATCTCCACTTTCACCCTGGATGCTTGCACATTCAGTCCTTCGGCAGTATGACTCACGATGCGTGAGATCACCGCGTTCTTGAGCTCCGCGGATGTCATGACATCGTTGTAGCTCACCGGGGAGATCATGTTGATGGACAAAACACGGCGCTGACTCACTTCCCAGGATTGAAGTGTGGCCAAGGTAGATTCTGGAACACTTGAGACACTGTAGGGACTGGAAGCCAACGGATCAGTACACCTGGATTGTACACGGAAGATATACTGAGTATCAGCATTCAAACTTTCGGCTTGGCAGTGGTACGCATTTAAGCTCAGTCCTGTGCACCCCTGTGGCGCGAACCAAACGCTTTGCCCTACTTCTTGGGCCTCCACGCCAGACTCCACGAATTCGCAGTCATTCAGCACTCCAGAAAGCCAGGACACCAGCAACCTCGGCCAAAACAAACAAATGGTATCATAATGGTATACTCTTAAAGCTTCAGAGCCGACCTATACTATACCATGTCTTTCCGCCGCAAGACACATTTCAACCCAGATCAATTCTGTCGAGAACCCTACTAATGTTCACTGTCCAGTGGCCTGGAAGGTGTGTTTTTGTCCTGCGATCTTGTTCATTCATTCAACGTAACTGTCAGCACCACGGCAGTGACTGGGCTGTCTCACGCGGTCACCACCCCCTTCTGTTTGCACCCCGTCTCTGACGCGTCTGCCCAAAGCGACGCCGACGGACCCGTGGGCTCGGCACCGCGGGGTCGGCAGCACCGGTCCGTTCGAACAGACGTTGGATTCAGAGCTTCTGCAGGTCCGTTGGTGAGCCTGCTCGTTCGCTGGCCCGTTGTTGGGCCTGGCCGGGCCTGGGGCCTGGCCGGGGCCTGGACGATGGACTTCAAGCCATCTGTCCCAAGAAGAGGACATTGACTAAGCCTTTTCTACAAGAATATTGTCAGGGCCAATTGAGTACGCCCTTGTAAATTGTAACATTAGTTCGAAGAAATAGTTCGAAACGCCATCCTCGAACAAGCGTTCCACCTTAAAGTTTGAAGCTTCGGATCAAAACGGTGTCGGGTGCGTAGCAAGCCCGGCGCGATAGTCACACTAGTCATTGCAGCACTTGCAGCGCCCAAATCACTCCGCTTAACCCCGGGTACTACCAGTAGCAGCATACCTTGGTGATCAGCAGACGGCTCAGCAGACGTCGATAGACATCGCCCAACATGGCGAGAGCATCGCATCAAAGCACCTCAAAGCAAACTTCACCAACCCACCGAGAGCGCGCATAGCATGAACGCCTCCCGGACAGTGACCAGCAACCACCAGGGCAAGCTGAACGGAAAGTGACGGTCTCTGGAGGTGGAGACTGACCCGACCCCAAGCCAGCCGGGCCCAGCGCCAAACGACCCAAACCGGCCGCCGGCGGCACTTTGGGTGGTATTTCCCCGGTGCTTTCAGCGTTGCTTCCAAACAAAAAACACGATAAGAGAATCTTGTTGGATGGTCGAGAGACACCAAGAATGAGTCCAAGAAAGATGGAAAAACAAACAAACATCTGGCACTGTCGCAACATGTTACAACTAAGAGGGAGACGTGCTGGAGCCTGGAATTCGAGCTCGAACTTCTGTGGGAGCAGCTGCAGGCGAAGGCAAGGTGACCACTGCCGGTGAGATCTCACTCCACAAGCTCTGAGTCTCCTCCAAGCTGCACAAGACACGGACCTTGAACTGATAAGGAGTTCCACTGCTCAAGCCTGAGGCCAAACAGCTCTCAGAGGTCTGACTCACTAATCCTTGACAGCCACTTGGTTCAAACCAGGACTGCTGTGAATCACTTTGATCCACCATCTGTGCGACGACCTCATAGCGCATGAAAAGCCCAGTACAATCATTGAGAGCTCCACGTGTCCACGACACCGTCAACGTTCCGGTGCTGGGCGCACTGCCCAGGACCTCGCTGGGGGACGTGGCGCGATTGGCCACGCGGTGATCGGCAAAGGCCTCGTAGTAGCCGCTGGGGTTCAAACCCAAAGAGTTCCAGCCATGGATCACGAATCCCGTCGCATCGCTGGGAATCAAGGTGTTCTCAGGCACGTGGAAGGTGGCGTACAAGCCGCCGGATACCTCGAAGTATTCCCAAACACTGCCACCATTCGTGGCACAGTCTCCAGTACAGTCTGCACCGATGCGTATGCTTTTCGTGGACTCGGAACTTGAGATGGCTTGTACAATCTCTGGGCATCCCTGGTTGTCGGCAAAAGTCACTGAAGTGGCCCGCACAGTGATAGTCACTTCGAACCATGTGCCCAAGGTGCAAGGTGCTGCTGCATACACACCCTCGGGAGAAATCAAGACTTTCTGAGTTCCGAGGAACACCGCACGGATCCCACCAGAACCAAAGAGATTCACATCGGTCCCACCAATCTGCACCACCATGTGTGCCAAGGCACCACTACTTTTCTTCACTTTGGTCTTCACTGTGAAGGGCGGCGCAAAACGCCGGGCCAAGGTCAAGTGAGCGTGGCTGTATTGGTTCGAGAAGACCGCTGCCCCGTTGGAGACCGAGACATTGGTAATCCAGGAGGAGGGATCACTTCCATGTGGAAGGGACCAAAAGGTGGAGTCGAAGATGGCAAAGTCATCACGCAGAACGTTTCCGGTGTCCAGCGCGGCCAACGGAACATCGAACAAGCGGTTCTGCGAGCTTCCCGCCCAGAAGACGTGGTATTGCGAGAAGGTCGCTTCCTGCTCCGGAGTGGCACGAGTGATGGTCAGAGCACCTGAGATCATGCCCCGTCGACCATCCACATCTGCGAACTGGAGGTCCGTGGCGCCGAAGGCTGGAAGTCCAGTGAAGTTGTGGAGGGTGTAGAGGATGGGCACCTCGCGCGAATAGAGAACCTCATTGAAGACACCCCAGATTCGCAGCCGAGCACGATACTCCCCATAATCTAGGCCAGTCCCACCCAGTTGCAACACCACTGTAGTCGATCCCTGAGCTGGAATCGTCACGGTGCCAGCGCTGATGGCGCTGCCGAACATCCGAATCCATGCAAACTCGCCGGCCATCGCCAGCGCGGCATGGGCATTCAACAGCGCTCCGGTCGAGACTTTGGAGGCGAACTTGGCATAGGGCACCGCGGAATTCAAGATCACATTGCGCAGCTCCGTGAAAGGCATGTTGTGGACATAGTCCAGGACCAAGGCTGCCACTCCAGAGACGTGAGGCGTGGCCATGGAGGTTCCGGACAAGGAGACGTACTCTCCGTTGGTGTAGGTACTCAGGATGCTGGAGCCTGGAGCTGCGATGTGCACATTGTTCACACCCCAGTTGGAGAAAGATGACATGTCATTGCTTCGATCGGTGGATGCCACGCAAATCATGTTGGGCAAGTTGTAGTTGCAAGGGTATGTTGACACCACATCATTGTCCTGTCCATCGTTTCCAGCCGCCACGATAAACAATTGGTTTGCAGCCGCTGCTTCATTGATGGCTGTTTCAAGACCGACGGAGAAGCCACCTCCACCCCAACTATTGGAAGTAATGTGAGCTCCCATTTGCACCGCATAGTCTAAAGCTCGAATCGCATCGATGGTGCTACCACCATTGGGACCCAAAAAGCGCAAGGCCATGATCTGCGGCTTCCAGGTCACGCCCACAACCCCGATGGAATTGCCACCTTCTGCACCAATGGTGCCTGCACAATGTGTGCCGTGCCCATTCCCATCCATCGGATCCCCGTCATCCTCGTAGAAGTCGTAGCCATAGACATCATCCACGAAGCCGTTGCCATCATTGTCGATGCCATCTCCAGGAATTTCTCCAGGATTTCTCCACATCTGATTCCTCAAGTCTTCATGGTTATAGTCTACTCCTGTGTCAAGGACCGCAACAATCACTCGACCAGACAAGCCCTTGTGAATACTCCATGCCTCTGGAGCATCAATATCATTGTCATTGGACTGATGCAAACCCCACATGTCATCATATTCTGGATCGTTTGGATGACTCGCTCTAGCGGTCTTCGAACCACAGCTTCTACATTGACCTCTTCGATGCATATGGCCTCGGCGAAGCTCAGACTTTGGTGCTTTGCCACCAGGGAGGAACAAATCGAAGTCGGTCTGAGCTCTGCCAAGTGGAAACCATTGCTGATCCTGTGTCGGTCACGCTGATTTCATCGACGTTCGTGACGTGAAAAACACAAACAGAAAGACAGCCAGCAACCGCCAGCAACACTCGACCCTTTCGGCCAGGATCTCGGCCTTATTTAAACACTACCAGCGACTTCCCCCAGCTGAAATGAGGCAAAAGACCATTATATAGACGGAAAAATCATATAGAAAGAATCTTCCAGATTCTTCCAGCATTTTTCTTTACAAAGCAAGACCCCCAGATGCTTCAGAGGGCCCCATGAAGCGTTTTTGCCAGGGATGAGATGGGATGAGCAAGATGGGACAAGTAAGAGATGTGATCGAAGCATTTCGAAGCCGTGTAGCTTGCAGGAGCTTGCAGGAGCAGCACTCAAGAAACTCGGGGGGAAAGAGACATGAAGAGACCAAGACCTGCGGCAGCTGCTCCAGACATCCTTAGGCTTCTTGGGGCTGACTGCGGACTCCGCCGAAACGACTTCCCCGGGCACCAAGCATTGCTAAACCTTCGCAAGTGGGCGATTGATGAAAAATTGTGAAGTGGTTAGTTTGACTTCTTGAAATGTTTTGTCTAAACCTCCCAATCATGCAGCCAGTGTTTTCTTACTTGTTTTTCATGTCTTTGGACTGCCAAACTTGACGTTTGTGCGAATAAGACGTATCAGGCTTCCGTCGACCACTCAGAGTGTCCTCTTCAGAGGACAGAATGACCACGCGCGCGCCAGCACGCAGTGCGCAGATCAAAGGCACTGAGGGCCAACGGCTTTGGTGCTGACCAATACCAACCAGAGAGATCAAGCGACAGAAACAGCGGAGTCCATCGTTTTGCCGATTTGTGGATGCACTTCGCTGGCTCTCCGGAGCTTCCATCCAACACAACGAGGCTCGAGTCTGGTTCATTCTGCGTCGCGTCTAACAGGGATTGGTCTGGCCTCAAACTGGTCAGCAGTCGCAGCAGGGTACAAATCAGGATCTCTGTTTCTCTTTGCAAACTTTGCACCGTCTTTCTGCTTCTTCCGCTTTCTTGCTGAATTTGTCCGGCCAAGTCTACAGAAGTTCCGTTCCGCATCGAGGACATGCCCGGTGGCAAAACATGGGGATGCAAATGGATCAGGGACCTTGAGATGGATCTGGGGGGATCGGGAGCCAACCTTAGAGACCCTTTCTGTTGATTCACCAAGTTTGTATCATTTGGTGCGCAAACAGCTTAATCGTTGGTAGCAAAGGTCAACTGAGGACAACCTCCTGAGCATGACCAAAGTTCAAAGTCAACACAAAATGCATCAAAGAAAGATAAGAGAATACAAGAGAATAGAGGAAAAGAGAGAAGCAAAGGGGAGAACATGAAAATGGTGTACAGTAACATGGTGTAACTCAAGCAACATCAGCTCGTGAAACATGGCAGACTGCAAGGCAGTCCTCTTCTACAAACTCTACCATGGGGTCATTCCTGAGTTCTGCATAGAGTCTGCAATAGCTTTGCACTGAACGATTCTTGGTCTCGGCAAATGACAGCTGGCCAATGTGCAAGTTCTTCACTTTGGCTCCATGGGTGCTTTCAAGCTTGCGCGCATGCGCTTCACGCAAACGCCGAGCCGTTCCAGATCCTTTGGTCACTCCCTTCATCTTGTAGATGAGCCGGTGCTTGGAACTGCTTCCAGCGTGCGAGGCGTCCAAACATGCTGCGGGCAAGGAGCTGGAGGAGAGGCTGGAAGCACCGGATGTCCCTGAGTTGGTCGAAGCGTCACCACTTTCGGCCGAAGCATCTTCCATGATGAGCTCAATGCTTAGTGTGGTGGCTGCACTTGCAGCATTGCTCAATTGAATGGAGACATTGTGGAGGGAGTTTGGAGTTCCCAGCTCATCTAAGCTTTGCGGTGACAAGGTCAATCCGATGTTGTCCACCAAAGCTGTTGATGCACCACGAGCTGCGATGCCACCCGCACCCACCGCCACGGCCACCAAGTGCGAGGCACCCGGCCTCACGGCCACGCGTGGAATCGTGACCACGGCAGATGTCCCGGTTAACCCAGTGACAGCCAAGCGACCCAAGGAGCCTAAGGCGACCCAAGGAGCACCGGTCACGTTGCCGAAGAAGACCTCATAGGCGATCACATTGCTTTCATCACTGGCGCGCTCCACGGTACAGGTGCCCTGCAGATATCCGATGCTGTTGTCACTATCGACACATTCCACCGATTCAGGCACCACCTGAAGGGTAGATGTTCACAAAAAGGATATCAAAGGAATCGCAAAGTAATGAGTTCTGCTGCATCGAAGACATTCAAACACCCTCCGGGCCTAATGGACTCCGGGCTTAATGGACTCAAGGGGCCCTGAAGAGAAAGACGGCTTTCTGAGGTGAAGTGAGTACTTCATCCCATACTTGAAGGAAGTCTAAGTCACATATCTTCCATTTATATAAATTAAAGGGGCATTCGCTAGTAGTAACAAGGGCATTACTACTAGTAGCTAGCTAGGCTAGAAGCTACTAGTAGCAAGGCGTTTTAAGGTCCTTTTTGATCCATGATGATCCATCTATATCCATCTCCCATCAGCTCCCCACCTGTGGCGGATTGTAATCTACCAGTGGCGTCGTGGCTCCCTGAGCCATCTCTCCACCGCTGGAGCTTGAAACGATCAGCAAGTCGGTGGCACCTGCGGGGATCGCGCTGCGAGGCACAGGGATGTTCAAGGAACTTGTACTTGCAGACTCATAGAGGAACACCCAACCGCTCATGGTCACCGAATAGTCCGAGCGCCAAGTAATTTCATGGGTTCCTTCTGGGATGTAGATCTCCTCTGGAGGACCACTGGGTTGACCACTTCCACTGTAGGGGGTGCCCATGACGGTCAAAAAGTCGTAGTTTTCCTCCGTAATGAACAGGGTGAAGCGCAAGCGCCCCGGCCCGGTAATGGCCATGTTGGCAAATTCTTCATTGTCATAGGACCCCCTTGAGACCTGGAAGGCCCCTGCCACTTCGTTGATGGTGATATGCGAGCATGTGATGCCGCTGCACGTCGGCCGCGGCAGGATGCTGGTGGAGGGTGCGGAACCAATGAAACTGATCTTGGTCTGACCACTGGAGAAGTACAACTTGTACTCTTCGATCGTGGACTCGTCTTGGGCCCTGATCCCATAAGCAGTGCCACTCACATAGCCAGCACTTTCATCCTCATCGGTGAAATTCAGACCCTGCGGGCCCTCTTGGGCCGGGTGGTAATCAATCACCTCTGCGCTAACGCCAGACACGGATTCGCCCTGGCTGGAAGCGGAATAGGCCAAGAGATGCGTGGCATTCGTTGGAAGGACCGTCTCATTGAGGCTCACAGTCAAGTTCGTGCCTGCGGTGGTGGCAGGCACAACGAGCACCACAGAGCTTCCGGGCAGAATTGTGGAAGAGTTCTGTCCCCAGTACACGCGATATTCTGAGACTCCAGAATGACTCCGAGCTTGCAGAATGGTCACGGTGCCTGCCACACGCCCACTGGAAGGATTCGTATCTTCGAACCAGAGATTTTGAGGACTTTGGTTTGGAGGCGCAAAATCAGCGACTGCCGTTGCAGCACACGACGCCGTATATTCTGCTCCATTGGCCACTGAAAACACGATCATGCTGTTCACGGTGCCATCGAAGGCCGTGGAGGGTAAACTATAGGAGATGTCTCCAAAAGTGCTGTAGGATTGGAAGCTCAGCGCCCATCCGCGCATCGTCACCGAAAAGTCCGAGACCCACTCGATCTCCTGCCGCCCGGCGCCCAGCTCCACGTCCGCAGGCACCGTGGTGCCCGAGAAGCTCGCGGAGCCCACGCGGAGGATGTCGTAGCTGCGCTCGGTCTCGAAGCGCGTGAAGTGCACCAAACCGGGACCTTCCACCTGGATGATTGCATGCTCATGGTTTTCATAGCCATCCATGCCTCGACTGATGACCCATTGACCTGCTGTCTCTTGAAGAATGGTGATCATAGCACAGCTACTGCCCTCAAAGCAGGTGGGACCACCACCCGGTGAGACGGGGATGTTGGCAATGGCACTGCCCACCGCAGTACAAGCTCCGCTGCTGAGGTACAAATTGTAGGCGGAAACTCCAGAGCTGCTGGCTGCCCGCTGGATGGTGACGGTGCCACCGATCTGCATGGCGATCGCATCAGTGTCTTGGAAAGACAAGCCACCTGAGGGGGTCCACGACGAAATGTGTGGCAGTTCAAACTAAGAATAAACAAAAAAAACTGAGCTATGGAGGGGGAGATTGAAAGCATGTTGCTCCCAGAGTCTGTGCGGGGAAACATGTCACAGATCTCATGGACATGTCTTCAGGTTGATGTCTGCCTTCGCACCTCAACATGTTGCCACGCATTTAACATGCCAGTTTTCTCTTTGTTGGCGTCGTCGTCTTAAAGTGCTCATACAGCGTTTGGGCCATGCAGTGCCGAACCCCTGCGCCAGGCTGTCTTGGTGTTCACCACATCTTACGGCGCTACGTCTTAAGGCCTGACCATTACTCCTTGAGTTTGTCTGACCATTACAGTGGGCTCAGAGTAGATGGCGCAATCCCCAAAAGGTGGTTGTATGGATCCCCATCCAAAAACATCTTGGCGGTTGGGCCATCTACTCTGAAACCATTGTATTGTCCTTCCATTTGGACGAGTTTCCTATCTGCCAAGCAAACCAATCGCGAGTTATCTTTACTGCGCAAATTCGAATGTCGTCCACATGCGCCTTCCTTGCTCTTCTGTGTTTGGCGAGTGGGTTAGCTTAAGCAGCAGACATGCACCCGGTTCCTAGTAGCGTCCAACCGCTCCTAGTAGCGATGCCAGGAGCCCCTAGTAATAGTAGCATCCTTGTTCCTAGCAGCTTCTAGCTACTATATTGCTTTCTGGAATATCTTGATATTTTCCTAACAAGTATTTCTGACGCAAACTGCTCACTGAAGAGAAGTACATCAATGTCTGAACAGTTGTTCTTCAATCATTACACAATAATCCACAAAAATGGCAACGGTTCCCCCCCCCCTCTGCGCGACTTCCCAAGTGTCACCAAAGAAAAAGAGAGATATTCAGAAATGCGGAAATGATTTGAAGAAAACTATTCCATATGTTCTCAAGGCACAGATGATGTAGAAACATTCAGAAGCATAGCTTCTATTGGATATGTTATTGTCATGATATGAGATAAAAAAAAAAAAAAGAAAACTCACCTGGCACCAGCAACTCATCAACATCTGTAATCTGCACTGCAACATAGTTGGCACCCCTTCCATCACTAGCTGTTGTGAAGCCAAGGAAATGAGTCGCTCCAACAGGCTTCACGGTGTTCGGCGCCACCAAGATCTCCACGGCGCCTGAACCTTTTGGAACTTCACCCACCAAACCTTGGATTGGCGGCTCCGTTCCGGAACTCTGGGAGAGAAAAGAACAAACAACACATGCATCTTCCCCAGGTTTGGGGATTCAACTCCTATTTTGGAGGGGGGAAAACAACCCCATCACCTGGAACCCGCAGCCAAAACCAGGAAACCGTAGTACGTGGTGGTGGAACTCCCAACTCCGGAGCCCCAGTACACCGCATAGCCCGTGACCTCCGCCTCGTCGCTCGCTCGTCCGAGAGTGATGAGGCCCCCGAGCTCACCGGGGGAGGCGTCGGTGTCCGTGAAGGCGATGGAGGCCGGGGTCGCCTGGATGGGTGCGAAGTCCACCAAGGGCACACTGATGCCACTGGTCATTTCCAAGCCATTCATCGAAGTGAAGACCAAGAAATGCGTCGCAGTGGCTGGAATGGACTGACTGCTGATGTTGAAGGTCAGATTGCCATCACTCGATCCGCCCGAAGGTGTTAGGCCTGCCACTTCTAGGACCCAAGGCAAAACGGCAGAAATGCGCGCGTAGATGCCTGGGTATTGTGCGTCAGCACAACCATATCCCCAAGAAGTAGCTCCATGCAAAACGTATCTGCCATCTGGTCCAGCACAAACTAAAGGCCCACCACTGTCCCCTTGGCATGCATCAACAATACCAGAGGAGGAAGTCCCTTGCGCGCAAAGCATGTCTTGTGTAATATCTTCATTGGCATATCGAGAAGCGCACTCAGAATTGCTAAGGGTCAGAACCATTCCTTCCTGCACAATTGAAGGTGAGCTTCCACCGCTCGACAGAGTCCCCCAACCAGTAATAAAGCATTCTTGCCCGACGATCACCTCTTCACTTGGCAAGCAAACGGAAGCGGCGCAGTCACCCATCTCTACCTCCTGTTCAAGTTCGATGAGTGCAAAGTCATGTGTAAATGACGAGGAGGTATAATTGGGATTCACAATGGTACGAAGCACCGCATGCTCCCGCTCATGCTGATCCTCAGAGGAATCCTTGTTGTGGTCTCCGATGACCACCGTGAAGCTGGATCCATCGATACAATGAGCCGCTGTCATGGCCCACTTGGGAGAAAGCAGTGAGGCGCCGCAGAAATGATGGCCACTGATGCCTCCCCAACGAAGGCTGATTTGCCATCTCCATTCACACTCACTGGCAGCCTGGCCATTCACAATCTTGGGTCCATTCACACCATTCCTCGAAAAGCGAAAGGGAGTGGTATCTGGGCCTTTCGCACCGCAAGAAGTCGACCCACCACTTCCACTGCCTGCACTCACTCGACCCAGAAGACTGAGCTTGCTCGTTGCTGAGCTGCCCCAGTAGATCACGTAGTGTGAGACATTGCTTTGATCCGCTGCCGGCTGCACCAGAATGCTACCAGCAATCTGCCCAGAAGTTGGATCTTCATCTGTGAAGTAGATTCCACTTGCTGTAACTGTGGGTGCAAAGGCATCCGAGATTTCAGTGGAAGACACATTGAATCCCTCACCCTCAGCGGAATATGCTTTCACCAATAAGTGAGAGGCTTCTTCCGGTACGGCTAGGTTCTGAATCTGATAGACCGTATTGCCAGACGCTGCAGCTGCAACCTGCCCGATGAATGCATTGTTCAAGGAACCATACCGCAAGACTCGTGCGGGTACAACGACCTGCTGATTGCTGGTGTCAGGGCCACCGTATTCCAGAACAATGCCATAGGACCCTGCACCGTTGAAGAACAGAACTTCCAAACTGTGCAGGCCAGACAAGAGGAACAAATCCCCACTTCTGGACTGCCAGAAGTGAGTTCCGCTGTTGTCCACCAACATGGCACCGTTGATGAAGAGTTGGCTACCATCATCCGAAGAAAGGGTGAAAATGTAGGAGCCTGCAGTGGTGATGTTGATGTAACCCCTCCAGCGAGCAGCAAAATTCTCGGAGCTCGTCAGACCGGGCCAAGCGGTGGTCGTTTCAGGTTGATTCAATTGGGTCTCAATCTGCACCACATCTGGCGACAGCGAGGCGAAATCGGGCATGGCACCGCTTGGGGCGCTGGACAAGTAGAAGTACTCTCCTGACAATCCGGCACTTCCAGGGAGGATCTGGTTGTTGCTGTCCCTACCCCAGTAGATATTGAAGCCAACAACACCTGACGATCCTTCTCCAATCACAAGGTCTCCACCAATGTATCCAGCAGCACTGTCGGTGTCCATGAAGGTGACTGCGCCAAGCCCAAGGTCAGGAGGGGCCAAATCCTCAATTTGGATGGCGACCGAGGCGTCACTCTCGCTGGAATTGTAAGCGCTCTTCACAATGAAGTGACTTCCCAGAAGACTTTGCCTCTCCAATAGCACCGAAATGTCTTGGGATCCTGAAGGCTTTGGTACCAAAGCAATAAGACCCGGTGTACTGGACAATGCACCTGTGTACTGATATGTGAAGCTCCATCCGTTGCTGGTGACACTATAGTCACTAGACCATTCCACCGAGTGAAAACCATCAGGCAAGGTGATGGGGTCAGGAAGCTGATTGTAACCACTGATGGGCGAATGATCTGGGAAATAAAGCTTGTCACAGCAAGTCTCCGTTGACAGAAAGCTGAAGTGGACTTCGGCTGGACCAGTCAGGGTGATGAAGGCTTGCTCATGGTTTCCATACTCGCCACGTGAAACAACCCACTCATTCTGCTGGGAGCCATCTGCTATCACAATGTCCCCACAAGCAACACCTGTGCATGATGGTTGCATGGTTCCGGAAGAAGTCACCAAACGCCTGACAGTTGTATCCAAAATCTCAGTGGCACTTGAACCCCAGTAAATCTTGTAGAAGTTGATGTCATGTTCATTCTGCGCACGCTTGATCGTAATGACTCCCTGAATCATGTTGGGCTCCGGATCGTTGTCAGTGAAGTTCACCCCTTCAGCTGCCACGCTGGGCGTCACCAGATCCAGGAGCTCGGTACTGATGGAATACACGGAGTCAACACCACCAGCCGCACGTGCAAAGGCCAAGAGATGTGTGACGCCTGCCGGAATCACGCTGGGAGCCACCACAAGGGACAGTTCTGCACCCGCCTTGGGAGCGGTGGCCAAAGGATCCTGGCTTTGTGCCCCATGCCTGGCAAAGGCCCAAAGGCTTGACTCAAACCAGCTGGTGTCTTGACCGGAAATAAAGGCTGAGATGTATGAGGCGCCAACACATTGGAAATACTGCAGTTCGATTTGATGCAAACCGGCCATGAGTGTCATGTAGCTATAGCCACCCATGATCTCGACGCCCGCGACGTAGAGTCGGCTGCGGTCGTCTGATTCCACTCGAAACCAATAGTCTCCTGCATTTCGAATCTGAAACCAGCCAGTCCAGCGTGCTGCAAACAGCTCAGACCGGTCCAGACCCGGCCAGATGGAGAAACTCCCACCTGGTCTGGCTGCAGTGTACGCCGAAGTGTTCTCCACTTGTGTGAGGAAAGGGGTCCCAAGCGTGGAGAAATCTGGGAAGCAGGAGGAGCAAGGGCAGGTGGAAATCGAGAAGAACTCTGCACTCAATCCAGGTGCACCTCCTGGCATTCTCAATGTTGAGCTCACACCCCAGTACACTGCATAGTCCACCACTCCGGACTCATCTGAAGCAGCTCCAATGGTCACAGTTCCACTGATCTGATTGAGGGAGGGATCTGTATCATTGAAGCTAATGCTGGAGGGCACCACGGAAACTGTCACGTAGTCTGTCAGCAAGACTCCTGCGCCGGTTTGCATGGAGCTCCCTCCGTTCGCACTCACCACTACCAAGTGAGTCATCCCCGTGGGTAGCGCAGAGGAGTTCAGCACGATCGAAGACATGAGCACATGGCTCCAAGCTTGAACACTTCCTAGAGAGCCAAGGGAAAAGTCCGGAACAGAAGAGCTACTACCCCAATAAAGATCATAGTGTGTAATGGCCGACTGATTTGGAGCCACCGTGAAAGACACAACACCGGCAAAATGACCTGCCATGGGATCGGTGTCTGTGAAGGTCACACCGGAGGGAGCGCTTGTGGGAATGATCACGTCCGAGATGCTGACAGCCGCTGGCTGCAGGTTCTCTCCACCAGCTGAAGAACTGAAAGCCAACAAGTGGGATGCATTGGATGGCAAAGTTGTAGCTGCTAGATTCACTCCCAATGGACTGCCAGATGTGGACGTGCTCACGGAGGCAAGTACCTGCCCCAGCTTGGCCAACGCACTGGTCCCAAAGTAAATCCGGTAGTCTGAGATCTGCGATTCATCCGCTGCTCTGCCAATGGTCACCACTCCAGCAATGACGCCTGCAGCGCCATTCGTGTCATCAAAGGCCACCGAGCTGGGCGGCTGCGCCGGCGGCGCGAAGTCAACCAGGACGACCCAGCTCGCCGCCGAGGCGCTGCCGCTGGTCAAGCGGGCGAAGGTCAGGAGATGGTCTGCACCACTGGGTGGAGTGGTGGGTGGAAGGCTCGTTTCGAAGACACCACCCCCTGAACTTCCGGTGACGGTGAAGGGCAGGTCCACCGGAAAGGTCTGTCCATCCGAGGACAAGACCACGGTGCCCGCCTCATCTTTCAGTGCCCAAGAGATTTCGGAGGGCCAGTTTCCTTCCGTCACGGTGATGGTCAGCTCTGTTGATACCGGAATGTTGGTCAAAGTGTGTGCTGCAAAGTGACCCGTTTGGAAGGTGCCGGTTCCAAGTGTGACACCTCCTTGTTTGATGGTGTATTCAGCACTGTTCCAACCATCACCGTAGGAATCATACATCTCAAAGACCATTGTGACAGTTAGGGATCCAAGCGACAGCGACTCCACCAAATCAAGCTGTGTAGGGGCCACCCCTGCACCATTGCCACTCGCCCAATAGATCTCGTATGCTGTCACATCAGCCTGTCATATGTACCATGAGAATGCCATGTACAAAGCAGCAAAAAGAGCTTTTTTGTACCCAACCAAGCGCGTGTTTGCATCGGACTACGTTACGCGGAACTGTTAGGAAAGCAAAGCATCATAGTAGAGAGCAAGGGAAACTGACCCAAACACAACCGAACGCAAGGCATAGCAACCTATGAACACTCAAAGTCACGCATTCCCTGGACCCTAAAACCTGCGAAACGATTTGCTCAACTGACCTCCAGCCATTGAAAACAAAGTCCACTCCCAAAGCAAATTATATAAGTGAATGTGTGCTTTTCTGTGCTTGTTTTTTGTGCATTTCTTGTGCTGACCTTCTTTCCGTGCTGTTCCAATGGAGATTTCTCCACGACCGGTCGCTCCGCCTGTCGACTTGGCGGACCAAGCAGTCGTTCGTGAAGGATGCGGTGGAGCGGATGAGACCGGTTCACTTACTGTAATGACCGCGGTGGCCCTTCGAGTTCGATTCTGTTGCCGTTGCCGAGTTCGCATCTGCCGACTGCGTCACCAATGATTTTTTCATACCGACCGTCTTAGACTCGTGGCATGCGGTGGCCATAGGGTCTGAAGACCCCGGCTTGGCTCAAGTACTTCAGCGACGTACGTTGCTCAAGTACGTGCGGGCGCCCCTCATTGCATTGACGCTGGTTGCACAGGCACCCAGGAGTTTCTTGGATTGACCGCAGTTGCTCGCTTCCTTGACCCGTACTGCGACCGGACTCGCGCCCCGCGTTCTCCCCCTCGGTCGGCGAAGTTCGGCTAATCGCCCTCGGCGTTCGGGTCCAGGACTGGACTCTCAAGGCTTCGCAGGGCTTCGCAGGGCACAGGGTTTGTCATGCGAACATCAAAGGGCACACGAGAACCAAAGAATCTTCAGTGTTGCGCCTCCGAGAGAGCTCGTTGTATTGTGATCGTCCCTGCAAAGGGCAACGTTCGCTGGTCAAAATCAGAAAGAACTGAACTAAATGCACATCAATCGTCACCATCCGTCACCTCCAGTCATACCCATTAAACCAAGACAGAAACAGAGACTCTGCAAAGAAAAAGGTTCAAAATTTATCAAAAATCAAAATGATCCAATTGAACGCATCTATCTCAGCCATCTTCTCTGCCTCTCTCTCTCTCTCTCCCGTCCCATCAACCTTCCACTCGCATCCCTTCTTTTGAGCCAACCGGGTTCTAAACCAGTCTACACTCGGATCACGGCGCGCCTTGGAATGAACCAGACAGTGAATCGATATCTTCAAAGGCGATACCCTGCGGCATATCCAGGGCTGCGTAGTCGAGGCTGCTGGTGGAGACCTCAGCACGCGGCATGCGACGGCCGTGCAGCGGGTCACCGCACGGCGAACGAGGAAGAAGCATAGTAATGTCCGATTGAGAGAAAATGTGTCTGAGTCTGAGTCTGTCTGAGCAACGTTTTTGACGATGTCTTGCTATATGTCTTCCAATTGTTCTGTTAATGTGCGGATGTCCAAGGTGGATTGTTTTCGCGAATCTTCTATATATATATATATAATTTACATATGATATTCTCTGTGAGTCATAGGATCACACACGGTCCGATTTCGGGACACAAAAGAGCTTGAGGAACCGACTCCAGTTTGTGCTTCCCCTCCAGCACCCTCGAGCAGCACCAGAATGCTCGTGGCATTGCTCGGAATCTCCACGTCGGTCAGCGTGAGGGTCTCGGTGAGACAGCCGCCGGTGGCGCGCCGTGGCGTCTCGCAGGGCTGGGACCCAAAATGATGGTGCATGTTTCTATCAACGTTTTCATACTACCTGGAGTCACCGGAGTCACCCTCATTCTGAGAGAAAGCCGCAAGCAAGCCAAGGCTCAATGTGTGAAGATGATGTTGGCACCTTGTTGATTAGCGTGAGTGGCGCCGCATTGGTGTCAGCGAAGTAGAGGTTGTAGGACACCTGAGGTTCACAGGTCTCATGGCCCCTCGACTTCTTCATCTTCTTCCTTCTCAACCGAACTCTGGGTTCGCAACCACTCCGGACTCATCGCTGGCCTCGGCAAAGACCCGGGAAAGACAGCTCTTGCTACTAGTAGTAATGCCCTTGCTACTAGTAGCGAACCTTGTTCCTAGTAGTAAGGCCAGGAGCCCCGAGCGTAGCCGCTCCTTGTACAGCATGCAGAATCAGTCGAACACCCCACGAATCTCGCCTTCCTGCAATATCCTGCAATCCAAGAAGACCCACCTACTCATCTTGCCTCCAAAAACGCCAGGTGTCTTTCCCCCAAACACAAACCGATGCGGCGCCCTTCACCGCTCATCACCGAGGGGCTCTCGTCACCTGTACGGTGCCGGAGACCTTCCCCAGGACTGGGTTCGTGTCGCTGAAGCTCACCGCTTGTGCCAAGACCTCAACGGCGGGGGGTCTGGTTGCGCAGGAGGAAGTCGCTGGGTCCGTGGTTGGGACCTGGGAAGCTCTCTACGCACGTCCAATGGAAACATGAGGGTTTTAAAGAAAAAGACAAGGACAGAAGATTTAAACATGTTGCAAAAGGAAGTTTGAGGGGTCTTACCTTCCTTTGTTCATCTTTGTTACAGTAATGGTATTATAGTGTTTTTCTCACAGGCGAATGAGGACTTGCCCTGCAGCCGCGACGCACTTGGAGGCACATAATCTTGGTAGGCGAGACCAACACCTTGTGAGCTTTCCTGAGTGTCGACAAGACCCACTGACCCACAGCACCACGAATTCTTGGAGATGACTCGACAGAACAGGGGTGTAGTGTGGCGCCAAATCAAGCGAGCATCTCCGCTGGCTGGTGGAACGTTGATGGAAGACACCACCACAATGTGGCTAGCTCCAGCGGGCGGAACGGATCCAGCGCTCCTGGGATAGTCGGTTTCTTTGATGTCAAAGCTCAACCATCGTTCTCCAAGAAAGCTTCACCGGTCCCCTATCACCGGTAGCTCTCATTAAGCTGAATGTCACTGAGATCGAAAGCTGCGAAGAAACATGCCCTGCCACGTCCACATACCCAAGGGCAGCCGTATTTGAGAGCTTAGTGGTTGAGCTGGAGCCTCGGTGTTTGTTCACGCGAAATGCAAGAGCTGCCGCTGAATATGTCTCGGAAACGCACTGATCTTGAACAGGGTCCAAACGCTAAATATATTGCATGTATTTTGATCCCAACCAATGGGTGTTGGTCTATTCTCCTTCTTCCAGGGGTCTTTGGGAGGTCTCCTTAATTTATGCACACCCAAATGGGTGTCAAAAGGTCAAATACTCCCCCAAAGCACCACCCCAAAGGAATAGATTGGCCAACCATCCACCCATTACGCATATAATGGTGTTGTTTTTGAAAGGCTGCAAATTAGGATCGTTCTGCCAACCAATACATCAACATATCTCCAAGAAGTTCTTGAAGCTGGAGGGTGCCAAGAGCAACACGCTGTGGAACCCCTCACGCAATTCACGCAAACTGATCCATATTGAAGTCACTAACAAGCTCGATCTATATGTCAAGTTCTTCGGAAAGTGACAGCGGCACCGTGACATAGGATGTGTTCCATTTTGTCGGCGCTCCTTCCATTCCACCCCAGTCAGTCGGTACACTTCACATCCGTTCGAACTCGCGCTGCGGTCCGGGCCGCCCCAGTACGCCACATAGCGTGAGATGTCGGACTCATTGAGGGCTCGGGTCACCAGGACCTCGTGGTGAACGAAGAAATGAACGAATTCCAGTCTAGGGCAGGAAGCACCGCTCAAAGCGAATCTAGAACCGGAAAGCTGTACGCTTCAAAAGCTGTTGACCAAGGCTCTTTACCTAGACCTAGATACAGATATACCCATAGATAGAACATGATCGAGCACACTGAGTTGGGTCAGGTTTAACGGTTTAACTGCTGTTTAACTTCAACTGCATGACGCATCAAACATCCTCAGACAAACAACCCCATAGTCTCGATGCAGCCACAAGGACCTGCCCGCCATAGCTACCAGCAGCTGGATCGGTATCTGTAAACGAAATCCCTTCAGGAAGATGCACTGGTCTTGCGCTGTCCTTGGAAGTAGGAACAAGTGCCACGCTAGTAGTAACAGGTGCCTTACTAGTAGTAA